AGCGCGGGCATGGGAAGGCCTACCGTGGTTCCGGGCAAGCAGAGAGGCGCTTGCAAACAGGCCGCTAACGCCGCTCGTGCGACTGCATTAAGCCATTGCTCAGCAAATGAGCGCTGGGGCTGCCCCCACTCCATATGAAGCCTTGCAACGCCTGGCGGCTGCCGGGCCCTCCAGCGGCCAGGTCTCTTTGCCGGTCGCCGTCGCAGCATTGGCCGCGGAGGACCACTATTTGGCCGCTTCCCAAGAAGCGTTGCTCGTCTGTTTCGCAGGGGACGCGGGAGCAGCACAGATCTCGCGCGGGGCAGCGGCACTGCAGAGCTCGCATCCCGTTGCTCGAGGGGAAGCAGCGGACCCGTTGGGGCCCGACTTGGACGCCCATGTCGCTCACGTAGCAGGGGCGACAATCGACGCGCCTCGAGCACGTGGCCGCGGACGGAGGGGTCGTGGAGGCTGGGCCGAGGGCGGCAACAGCATCGACCTCCATCGAATGACCCCGCAGCGCCGACACTAATCGATGCCGGCAGCGATTCGGAGACACTCGGCCGGGCGATGATAACAGCTTCCGCTCGGCCGAGCCGCGCACTCGCGACCCCTCTGCAGGGGCACCTGCCCTGTTTGCGCGAGATAAATTTGCCCGCCGAGTTCGAGCACCGCGTGTACACGTTCCAACCGCGTCAGCTCCGGGGCTGCGGAACGCTCTGCGTGTCTCGGTCGAGGATGCTCGAGGCAATCCGGGATGAGGCAGGCACAGACACAGACCGCGACGGATGAAAACTTTTCCTTCTGGCCCCACGCATGTTGCTCTTTCGCACGCCAGGCGTAGGGCACGTGCCTCCTCAAGAGTTCAAGCGCCGCGAGCGTTTGTTCTGCGAGGGCGGCTGGATACAGCTGCTCCGCGAGAGCGTAGCTGCGGCCCAACCAGCCCAACCGGTTCGGGGCACCAGTCGCCCTTCCGAGGCCGGCTCTGAGGGTGACATCCGGCGCCGAGCTGACCGAGCTTCCGCGCTCGCGCACCTAGGCGAGATGTCCGCAGCTGCCAAGGCCCTCACGGCTCCACCCTTAGCGCCAGCCACCGCTGACACGTTACAAGCACTCCGGAACCCTGTTCGCCGTCCTCCGGAAGCACAGGTGTCCATCCACCTATGTGTTGATCCTTTGTCGGGCGTGCCGGCCCAAATCTGCAAGGCAGACTTGCTAACCAACTTGCGGAGGGCACGACGTGGAGCGGCTGCGGGCCCGTCCGGCTGCACGAATGAGCACCTCAGGGTCCTTATGGATGAGGAAACTACGGCTGAGCTCCTGGGGCACGCAGCGGACAGGCTCGCAGCGGCGAGGGTCCCCTGCGACGTTGCGGACGCACTGCGACTAGGCCGTATGGTTGCGCTACCGAAGCCAACAGGTGGAGTACGAGCCCTGGTTATGGGCGACGTGTTTCGCCGCCTGGTGGCCCGGACACTGGCACAGCAGTTCGGGCCGCGTTCCGCGCAGCCTGCGCGCCGTTCCAGTACGCGCTCAGCACGCGCGCAGGCTCCGAGGCCGTCGTCCGCGCAGTGCAGACGGCGACCGAAGCCGACCCTCGAACGACAGTGTTGAGCATCGACGGCGTGGGGGCCTTCGACCACATCTCACGCGCGAGCATGCTCGGGGCGCTTCGAGCACACGCTCCCCTCACCGGCCTGTTGCCGTTCGCTTCCCTGTGCTACGGGCAGGCCAGCCGCTACCTCTACTACGACGAGGCAGGCGTGGGGCACGAAGTGCTGCAAGGAGAGGGCGGCGAGCAAGGCGACCCCCTCATGCCGGTGCTTTATCCGCTCGGACAACACGCCGCCCTGGTCGACCTGCAGTCCCAACTCCAGCCGGGGGAAGGCTTGTACAGTATGCGTTCTTGGACGACGTTTACATCACGTCCCCGCCGGAGCGCACACTCCCCGCCTTGCGAGCCGCGCAGGCATCGTTGTCCCGCCTAGCCAACGTCCAGGTGCACCTGGGCAAAACTCGCGCTTGGAACGCAGCTGGCGAAGAACCGGCAGGGCTTCTGGCAGCGCTACCCTCGGCGGAGGGCGAGTCTTCGTGCTGGACAGGAAGTTGGACTTTGCCCGCGCGAGAACAGGGTCTCGTCGTGCTGGGCTGCCCGATAGGTAGCCGGGAGTTCGTTGCCGACGTGTTGGCAGCGAAGCGGGACAAACACGAGGAGCTGCTTGCCCGCCTGCCCGCGCTCGAGGACTTGCAAAGCGCATGGCTACTGCTGTTGCTGTGCGCGGCTCCACGCTGCAACTACCTGTTGCGAACCGTGCCGCCCAGCATGACGGACGAGTTCGCCGCAGCCCATGACAGCAATCTCGCGCTGCCTCGCCGTTTTACTCGCGGGGGGCGACCAGCCAATCGACTTGCCTCCCTTGAGCGAGCGCCGGGCGCAACTGCCTGTTCGCATGGGGGGTCTCGGCCTATCCTTTGCGAGGGACCATCGTCATGCGGCGTACTGGGCATCCTGGGCTGACATGATCGGCGCTCTGCCACCCGGGCACCCTCGCCAGCCTCGTGCGACCCTTCACGGATCTTTCCGCCCCTAACACGCCGCTCAGCGCGAGAGAGGCCGAGCACGCAGCTCAGTCCCTCCGCCTTCAGGGCCTCCGAACTCCAACGTGGGCAGCCCTCGTGGACGGGGCGGAGGCCGTCCCCTTGGAGGGGGGTGACGACCCGTCCCTGAAGGTGAGGCGGGGGTGGCAGAACAGCGCCGGAGCCGCTGTGGACAAGCGCGTGTTTGCGATGCTTTTCGCCGAGTTAGACTCTGCATCGCGAGCACTGCTGCTGTCCCAAAGCGGCGCGGGCGCCAGCTCTGCACTCACAGTCCTCCCTACCGGACCGGACATCGTTGTACCCAGCGCGGAGTTCCGAGTCATGCTGCTGCGGCGGCTGCGCATGGCGCTCCCGCTCGCACCCGAGCGATGCCAGTGTGGGCGCCACCTCGACAGCTTGGGAGACCACCGGTCTGCCTGCGCCCAAGTCGGGGTCCTGGCGCACAGAGCTGGGCCGCTGGAGCGCGCGGCGGCGCGCATCTGCCGGGAAGCCGGTGCCCGGGTCGCCACAAGCGTCGCCTTGCGCGACCTGAACGTGGATGTCCCTGCCACTGACGGTCGGCGGATTGAGGTCGTCGCAAACGGCCTGCCGCTGTGGCGCGGGGCCCAAATCGCGGTTGACACGACGTTGGTCAGCCCCGTCCAGCGCGACGTGCGAGGCCAGCGCTGGCACTCCAACAAGCCAAGACGCGCAAGCTCCGCACGTACCCCGAGCTCCAGCCAGGCGGGCGCGGACGTTGTCGCTTGGTGGTCTTCGGTCTCGAGGTCGGCGGGCGCTTCGACAGCCAAGCGTTGGCACTGCTCCGACGACTCGCTCGGGCTCGCGCCAGGGACCGAGCGCCGTGGGCGCGGGCGGCCGCGGGGGCCGCGCTTACGCGACGCTGGACGGCCCTCGCGGCGCTCGCGGCGCTGCGAGCGCACGCCCAAAGCCTGCTGGAGTTGCCGGTCCAGCCTTGCGACGCCAGCGACGGCGTCGAGCTGCCGCTCGGCGAGCTCCTGGCGGCGCCGCTGTAGTGCCGTAGTGGCGACCCAGCTGCGGACGGAAAAAGGCGTGTTGGAAAAAAAAAAAAGGGTTTGCCCCCACTCTGGCATCTTGCGCTCCCGTGGCCTCCCACTCGAGCGAGCTGCTGCCCGTGTTTGCTGCGAAGCCGGGGCTGCCGCTGCCTGCAATGATCTCGTGCGCGATTCCAACATCCAGCCCGAGCGCCTCGATGACCAAATAAATTGCCGCTTTGGGACGGAGCACCGCTCGCCGTCGACACCACCCTTCTATCCCGTTTCGATGCCAGTGGAGCTGCACGCCGGCACCGGCCGCTAGTGCCGTGGCGCCGTGCTTCGCCTCACCCGCAGGGCTACGGAACGCACCTACCCCGAGCTACTGCGCTCGTAGAGGTGCCGGCTTGTTGTCCTTGCACTTGCGGTTGGAGGTCGTCGAAGTCGCCTGCTACGGCCCTGCAACCATAGCTGCCTTCACCTCTCGATGGTCTGCCTTGCGTGCTTGTGTGGCCACCACAGCCTTTGGTGCCAGTCTCTTTACTCTGTCCCTCGCCGGCACCGCCAATGTTGATGGGAACCAGCCCTTGCAGCGAGCTTCTGTCCTGGACCGTGTGCTCGACCTCGCCGAAGCGGCGGGGCCGAGCCGGTTGCCATTGCGCTAGTTGGCCGTAGCGGGGTAGCCTACTGTAGTTTCGGCGGACAGGTAGACGGACCCTCGGGAGCCGCGAGGTTGGCGGCAGGTTTGGGGCCGAGACCGTCCAGCTGCTGCGCCTCCTCGCGCGACAGCGGGCCGCCGCAGTCCCCGCGCACTTGAGGCCCTCCGCCACTGTCGCCTAGATCTCGCGCTGGTCCTGCCTTCTGGCAGTCGCATCCCAGCGCGCCTACGCCGCCTCGCTCCTCGAGCTCCCACCCGCGGCCGAGCTCGGCGAGGGACCCATGCCAGAGCTGCATGAGGTCCTGGCAGACTCGCGCGGTGAGCAACAGTAAGCTGCCCCTCGGCCGCTGCCGCTGGAGGCGGCCCCGTACTGTACGGTAGCGCGTCGTGTGCACTGGGACCGGACTTCCCGAACTGCGGCTGTCGTAAAAAGGCGCGAGGAAAAAAAAAAAGGGGTGCTCACATCACGTGGCGCCGTCGCGGTCGGCAGTGCCAACTTGGCAGACGAGACATGTTTGGCAGTGCTACAGATGCTCATAGAAGCATCATTAGGCCACGACTTTGCAGTCTGCAGACAAACCCTTGCCCAAATGCATCGAACAGCTCAGTCGAACCTGCCCGTTTACATGGAGAGAAATGTCCACTTTGTTGGCTCGGCGTCTATGTGAGTAGGCTTTGGCGACAATGGGCCTGACCATATACGCCAGAATCGATAGCGTAAACAACTGGCGAAGATCTGCATTAAAGGTCCGATGCAGGTGTTCAGCAGGGGTATGCAGGGGTTGACCCAGGCACATTGCAAGCTCGGTGCACATGCATCAACAGGGTATCGTGGCAGCAGCCATGGTGGATCTTGGTTGGTGGTTGCCGGGCGTGATTGCAGCTATGTGGCCGCAAAGGTGCCGTTGCCATTTATAATATTTCCGTTACGGAGGTTTAATGTGTTGCGGATGTTCGGTCATCCATATTTTTTTGCCTTGCCACGATTTCGTGTTGTTCTTTGCTGTGATTTCATCGAGTTTGTTGACCTAGGATTTCCATCAATTAGAGAAAAAACCGGCTTTCTTTTCAATGGAGTTGGATGGGAATGGACCTGATTTCGCTACTTCTCCTGCAGAACTAGCGCTCACGGATGCCATTGTTTGCTGATGCGACCCATCCTTACGCCTCATCACACCTAGCTTGTCATGTCCATATCCTGAACAGTAGTTCTTTACATGTTTCAGCTACCATCAGCCACTCGTTGTTCAAACAATCCTTAACCCTGGCTTGAGTTTTCTGAGCATGGTTGGTATTCATTATCGGGTTTATTGGGATTTGCATTGGGCCTTGCATCGGGCATCGTCCTTGTATGGGGCCTTGTTTTTGTTGTGCGTTGCCGTTCACCCATGACAGGCGTTCATGAGGAAACCTTGGGAGGACAACGATGGCGCGGACACAGGCAAGCCTGGTGTGAGCATCTTTGCGGCAAGATTTTTTTGTGTATCAGCCTCTCTCTTTCTCTCTCCCCCATGTCAGCTTATTTTCTTGTTATCTCGGTTCTGTTCGTCGAGCTTTGGGATTTTCTCGTCACTGCTCGACAGCAAAGGTGCCAGGGATCAACTGCTCAGATTGGTACGCATGCACGCGGCCTGCCTCCATGCACTTCAGCTGGATTCTACAAGAACGGTCACTGATGAGGCAAGGTGTCTGGGGACCCTTGTTCGTTGCACTGATCAAGCACCGCTAAAGGTGGCGGAAGGATTTCAGCAGGATGTTTACCCCTGGAATTTCCAGGAGATCATGGGTGCCTTGGCCCGCGAGTTCGACAGCTTGGAGACTTGACTTTTCGGTTGTCCAGTGCAACCTATGGGAGGGAGCTTGCTGGATGCTTTTCTTGGTGGTCGGTGGTCCTATGTGTTGAGGAAATCCAAATGAAAGATCGTTTCGTCCCGGTGGACACCATAGCTGAAATTCAGCAGCTGCAACGCTCTCAGACGGACGGCAATAGGCAAAAGACACATGTGGGCGGTTGTCAAAATTCTGGTCCTTTTCTAGGTACCCTATAATCAGGTGCCGTATTATATTAGAGGCCCCAAAAAGGGCCATAATTCTGACAACCACCCATGTGCGTGATGTGCCTGCGACGGCTTCGTGTCTTCGTGGTGTCGACTTGCAGGTTTCGTCAGGACCGGGCAGAACAAGCAGCTATGCAGACAACCCGGTTGGCAACCAGTTTCCACGTAGTGGTGGCAGTGCTGCCGACATGTTGTGGATGAGTTATGATTCGCTTCCTGATGATGGCACGAGAGAGAGAGAGAGAGAGAGAGAGAGAGAGAGAGAGAGAGAGAGAGAGAGAGAATTGGCTTCTTGGGCTGAGCGGTCCCCAGCAACAGACTAAGGTCACATGTTCGCCGAGACGTTATATGGAAGACCTTCATGCGGATTCCCTTGTGCGTTTCGGTCGCATGGTTGTATGAACGATTTGCATCCTTCTTCAGCTTTTCCATGCATCCCAGGTGTATCAGCAGTTCTCGTCTGGAGCCACAGATGCGAGACTATGTGCTTCAGATCATTTCGAGAAAGTGCAAACAAGAGCTTAACCTGAGTTGACGGACTGAGGCGGTCACAGCTCTTGGGTTGTTCCTCTCCACATTCCGGTATTCCCGTGCAATCTGTGCTCTCCACGATTTTACAAATGGGACATGTGATCAGGAGAGCCTTGCAAGACATTGGCAAAGGTTTTCGCAATGCGGGGTATGCTCATCATTACCGTAGGTTATTGCATGTTGGTTGGCGTAGGTTGTCTGCTATCCGCCAGCCGCCGCTAGCCGCAGCACGCACCCTACGGTACCCGATGTGATCTCCACTTCCAGATCCAAGGAACAGCTGTCATTTACAAGTGGTCGTACAAGTAGGACGAGTGGGGAGCACCGGGCATCACCGGGCCGTATTCATGTGATCGCATCCGATCTTGAAGCCGGCAGTCCAAACTTACATTGATGCGCTTGCGTTTGTCGGCCTTGTGCTGGTTTATCCCGCAAGTACCAGCCAGCAGACTCTATGGCGGAGGAAACGAAGCAACCTTGCTCCCAGACTGGCAGCTGCCAATCGAGGCTTGCTGAGTCCCGACAGTTTTGGGGTTGGTATCGGCTTTTTGTTTTGAATGTTTGGCCCACATCGTTTGGTACCAGGCCGCATGACACACTGGTGGCAAGAGGGCTTGCTAAGTTCTCTTCTGGTGCCGACAACTGTCACAGTGGCCCGATCTATCGCGTGTCCCTTTGATGTAAGGCTTGGGACGAATCTGGCCTCGTGTGGTACAACGAGCGTGGGCCCTTCAAATGCCGCCGGCTGAGGCGCCTATTCATAACCATAAGCGATGACCTCGTCATGCATACGCTCAGGTTGCAACGATGCCGGCCAGTATGTACGCGGAGATGCCAACCTATCTGGGGCTGGAAGTTCTTGCTGTGACTTTTACGATGCCGCTTGGATCATAAAGCACGAGGACCACACACTTGGAGCCCGGAATGAAAAGCATGCAAACCAAAAGAAGCTAAGGCCAAGTGGTGTCCCGGATGCAATCGGATTTTGTGGTCGCTGCGATGCCTGTGCAAGCTGCAGCATGCTCGCAGAACTACTGTGTGCAGCTGTGCGCAGGCAGGTGTTCTGCGATAACTTCGGAGCTGAAGAGCGACGCCCACCAGTTCCGGAATGCCCAACGTCTCCTTGGAATTGTGGGGTGTCAGCCCGAGCTTTGTCGAGTCACGTGTGAGCTTGGCGAAGCTTCCTTGCCAAGGCGATAATCGAGACCATCGCTAGAGAGCGGAGGGTGAAGGACACGTCGAATGTGGTTGATTTGGTCCAAACGAGATAACATCTCGCTGTTTTGGCGGATGTGCGCGAAAGACATGGGTGACGGTAGTAGGAACACGTTGTAGCGGGACAGTACTGAGACTGCGACGCGGCATGGGTTTTGCGAGGGTGAGGTGTGGGAAGTATCGGTCGCATACTGCATTGCTTTCTCATTCGTGATTTCGTCTGCGAGTCATGCCTTGGTTCGTCGTCGAATGTGTCAGAACGCAAGAAACACCGGGTATCTGCTACCAGTAGCTGTCCAGCAGAAGCGCAGGCAAGTCCAACCGCAAAGCACTGGTCACGCTGGAACATGTCTCGAAACGTCCAACCTCTCGTTTCACTTACAGCCCCCGGCAGCAGCACTGTCCAGTATTCCGGAAGTCGGCATGGGCACCAGCGTCCCGAGCGCTGGACCCTCAATCCACAAGTGCTTTTTCGCCAGGCGGAGGCAGACAAGGCCCCTAAAGGCTCTAAAGTCTAAACCTACTACTGTCGAAATAGCCACAAGCACCTTTCTGACCTCGAATCCTCGCTGGACTCGTCCGAGCCATCATGACCCACCATCCTCAACAGCCCTTAGCCCAAAAGAGCACCAAAAGAGAAGAACTGCAAACTCTTAAGTTCCCCCTGGGTTATATTCATATTGTGAGCTGATTTTTGGCCGACCTCTCGACACAAGCCTCGCCTGGACTGTCCGAGTTGTGAGCGCCGAAAAGCTAAAGTCCCTAAACCCCAAGGATCGGACCACCAGGTCACACGATGGCACCTGGAGTGATCGGACCACCAGGTCACACGATGCCTGGAGTGATCGGACCACCAGGTCACACGATGCACCGGCCTGGAGTGACGCCTGGAGCAATGTTAGGGCAAGGCTGCTGCAGTTTCCGAAGTCGTGTGTTGGGTTCGGAAATGTATGCGGGGAATTGAGACAACAGAGTTTGTCATCTGGACCACTTTCACATGAAACGGTCATGTGGCCGAGTCAGTTGTGTCCAAGGTTGAAACTGCATTTGCCAAGGATCAGACCACCACCAGGTCACACGATTGCACCTGGAGTGACACTTGGAGCAATGTTAGGACTGTTAGGGCAAGGCTGCTGCAGTTTCCGAAGTCATGTGTTGGGTTCGGAGATGTATGCGCGGAATTGAGACAACAGAGTTTGTCATCTGGACAATTTTCAAACGAAGCGGTCATGTGGCCCAGTCAGTTGTGTCCAAGGTTGACACTGCACTTGCCAAGGATCGGACCACCAGGTCACACGATGGCACCTGGAGTGACGCTTGGAGCAATGTTAGGGCAAGGCTTTTGCAGTTTTCGAAGTCATGTGTTGGGTTCGGAAATTTCTGCACGGAATTAAGACAAGAGGGTTCGTCAATTTGTCCTCTGGACAATTTTCACACGAGGCGGTCATGTGGCCGAGTCGTGTCGAAGATTGAAGCTGCACTTGCCAAGGATCGGACCACCAGGTCACACGATGCCCCGGCCTGGAGTGACCCTTGGAGCAATGTTAGGGCAAGGCTGCTGCAGTTTCCGAAGTCATGTGTTGGGTTCGGAAATTTCTGCACGGAATTAAGACAAGAGGGTTTGTCAATTTGTCCTCTGGACAATTTTCACACGAGGCGGTCATGTGGCCGAGTCAGTTGTGTCGAAGATTGAAGCTGCACTTGCCAAGGATCGGACCACCAGGTCACACGATGCCCCGGCCTGGAGTGACGCTTGGAGCAATGTTAGGGCAAGGCTGCTGCAGTTTCCGAAGTCGTGTGTTGGGTTCGGAAATGTATGCGCGGAATTGAGACAACAGAGTTTGTCATCTGGACCACTTTCACATGAAACGGTCACGTGGTGAGTCAGTTGTGTCCAAGTCTGAAACTGCATTTGCTAAGGATCAGACCCATTATGCTCTGGATGCCCAGAGCTGAGAATACACGTGGTGCTACCGGACTGCACCGGCATGTATGGAGCATGGCTGTTGCTTCGAAACTTTATTCAGTGCATGTGGAACCGGGCTGCACCGAAGTGTCTGGAACCCAGCGTGTTCTGAAGTTTCTGGATCTCAGCTATACTATGCTTGATTTTCCCAACCTATGGGTGGTCCTTGTCTCAGGGATGACATTGAATCTGGACTACCGTTGGGCCTTTTACTGCACTTGCTGCACAGAGACTGCTGGTGAAAAGTCGACAAGCCATGAAGCTTGATTATAAGCTGCCTGTGACTGTGGACTTGCGACACCACTGCGCTCTTGCAGGTATCATAGAGTCGGGGGGAGTGATTCCCCTGATTGTATTGTACCTGTGATTGTTAGCTGCAGTCACTATTACACGATGCCGAGTGAGTGCCATCTGATAATTCAACGCCAAAACCACAAATGTAAAATGCAATCTAATTCACGGCATTTTGCTGAACCCAAATTGAACATGCATGTTCTGGAATTGAGCATTTGATTTAATTTGTCATTAATATCGACAAGCTGTAAATTGGCGAGTCAACCTGTGAGCCAAGATGGCGGCATGCCAGGTACGCCTGAACAAACCAGGCTGAATTCACCAGAATATCTCTTAACTCCCTGGTCCGTGTACTCAGCCATGCAGGAGGCAAAAAAAAACCCGAAACTGTGAGACCCCGACTGTCGAAACCCCAACCCTAAACGTGAGGGAAAAACCCTAAACCCCAACCCTATGTGGAGCCTTGCCTGCCTTGTGCGAGTGTGAGCGTCGAAACCCCAACCCTCGGACCCAAGAGGGGGGTTTAATATACGGGCCTTTAATCAGTGGAATGTCTTTCCGAAACTTATAACAATAACAATAAGCCCTCCAAAACCTTGTTTTATCAAGGCCCCTACATAAAACCCCAAACCCCAACCCCCAACCCTCGGATCCAAGAGGGGTTAATATCTGAAGGAAAAAACCCAAGATGGGTTTAGGGTTTAGGTTTATTAAACCCCAGGCGTCCTTGCAAGCAAGCCTGCAGCAAGGTTTATTAAACCCCAACCCCAACCCCAAACCCGAAAAAAAACCCTAAACCCAAGATGGGTTGCTGGCATTATTCTAATTATTACATGAAATCCCAAACCCCAACCCCAAACCCGAAAGAAACACTAAACCCAAGATGGGATGTTGGCCTTGAGGAGCTCTGGCTTTGGCAGGAGCCCCCGAGCCTTGAAGTCTTCGGTGCCTCGCTGTGCCTGGGCCACGTCTCAGCCGCCTTCGCCCTTCTCCCTTGGGGGTTTCCTGAAAATTGGGGGTACCTTATCTTGGGGTTCTTATAATAAGGATCCTACTGAATTAGGATCCCTATTTGCGGGCAAATCTGCAGGTTTCCTAGATATCAATAGCTTAGCATGGTTGGTAGACGTAGATAGATTGATTGAAGATAGATAGATACATAGATAGATAGATAGATAGATAGAGAGATAGATAGATGATAGATGATATTGATACACATGTATGTACACATGTATGTGTGCATGCAGGCATGCATGCATGTATGTAGGTATGTACGTACGTAGGGACGTGTGTATGTATGTATGTCTGTATGTATTCAGGCAAGGTCGAGCGCGAGTGCTAAACAATATGTGTTTGTATCTTGTTTTGTTGAAGAACACATCAACAGATGCACAAGAAAATCTCTGCCTGCCTGTATATACGTCTAATCGTGCATAACATGCTTGCTGTGACGTCTGGTCTTGTTGCTCAGCAGTCTTCTACTGCGTTTTGTCTTGCCACCCGAAACTGAGAGAGTCGACATAGCGCGTCTCGGCGTTTGAGGTCTACATGACAATGTCTGCTACACATGCTTTGCGGGGATTGTACCAACCCTGTAAGGACATGGGGTGCAAAACGATGCAAAACGACTGTGACACTTACTGACATTGGTCATTATTCAGCGTAAGACGAGAAGCAAGTGAGATCGTCGTCGGAATTTGTTGTTCTCTTGACCTTTCAACTGTACTTTCTGACTTAGCCTTGCGATGCGCACTTGTCCTATCTTTGTGGGAGGCAAACAACAGTTCCGATAATATTGGCAGCTCTTGTCTTACACAAACAAGATTCGATGCTCTGGGTGACCTCTGTTGGGCCTTGAGCGCTTCTTGGGCCTTTGGCTGCTCAGGTTTCTGTTCAGGGCCTCCAGGGTTGAGGGTTTGCGGATCTTGCGGGGTTTGAGCGTTGGGGTTACGTGTTTTCTTTTTTTGCTGGTCTTTCACTGGCAAGTCGCATGTTTCTTGCTTCGACTTGTGGGTCCGTGCTGTCTCAATGTCATGTAATGTGAGCAATCAGGGACTGCGCACATCTATGCCTCTATCTATGTCCATATCTGCATCTAGCATATATCTTTATCGACAAATTTTATCTATATCTGTACCTGTGTACATGTATATTTGTATATATGTACATCTGCATACCTGTACAGCTGTATCTGTGCCGAAATCTGAATCTACATCTTGTTCTACGACAGGCTCGGGCCTTGAGATGTTAAGGGTTCAGGCCAGCTTGGGCAAGTGGTGCGGGGGGTTCCTACTTGTACTAGTTTCTTGAGCAGGGTATGGAAGTGCAGTCAGGAGTGCTGACCTTCCGTCCATGTGTGCAGGCGAATTCTCCCGGAATGGCCTGAAGCCTCGCCTGCCTGCCGAGTGCGAGTGACAAAAATACATGCGTTCACCTGCATACATACATACATACATACACACACACACACATATATATATATACACACATAAAGGTATGTCTATGTAGATATTAATATATTTGCTCACCCTTAGTTGTTTCTCTGCTTATTTGTTTCCAAATTTGTGCATGCATTGGAAAATGCTATCTTTCTGCCTCGCTGTCTACCCATCTATCCATCCACCCATCTACCCATGTGTCCATTTACGTATCCATCCATCCATCCATGCATCCTGTTTTCTGTTCATCTATCTATCTGTCTAACGGAATATTTTCTATCTATCTATCTGACTGGCTAGCTATCCAGCGAGCCTTTCAGCTGTCTGTCGCACCTATGTATCTACGATCCCAGGCTGTTCAGCATGTCGAGCAGAGGCTTCCCAATGCTGCGATGCTGAGGATCTGCTTGGCGGTCTCCGGCTTGGTTCGCCTGTTTCCCCGCTTCATTGACTTCATGGTCAGGCGGGCTGGAGCTTTCGTTGCTGCCGGGAGGAAGGTCTTCTTTGTTCGATGCTCGCATGCTCTGCCAGCCCAGGGGCATCGACGTTTTTGTGTACAGGATCTTCCCCCGATTGGTGACTTGCCGCAAACTGTTCGTAACATGGACATGCACGAGTGAAAGAAGCGAAGTGCTTCGTTCTCGCAACTAAGGTGCGAAGTGTCCGCCGGCTTCGGCGAAGATGCCGGCGGTTGTTGCAGCATATCCAAGCGAGCTTGTCATGCTCTCAGCATCTTTTTGCATGTTTTTTGAGGGTTTGGCGGTTGCGACTCTATGGCCCAGGAGACGGCCGCGCCCCGGTGAGGAGGGCCCGGAGGGCCAGGGCCCCACGGAAGAGCCAGCGTCTGAGGGCCAGGAGGGCCCCTCTGGCTTATCATCCGATGAGTCAACTCGACGGACACTTACCTGAAAAGCGTTCTTGCAGCGATGCCTTGTGTGCGAGGGGAGGGGGAGGGGTGTTATCGACGCCGTGAATTGCCAGCATAGCGTCCTGCTTGCATCGGTCTGGGTCAGGAAGAAGCGACGGATCAAGGTAAAGGCGCGGTTGCTGGTGTCTGATGGATGCATGCCTGCTATGGCAGGCATGCTCGATGCAACCTGGGTGCTCCAGCACGCTTCTGTCCGTGCAGTTTGCCGTGACAGGCCAGTCCTGCACATCGGTCACACAATGTCGTGCACGTTCGGCTCCTTGTCTGTCTGTACTGCCAGCAATGCTCTGGGAAAATTGTTCTTGCTTGTCACGAAGCAGAGGCAGAAAGAGCTCGTGCAGAGCGAGGTGCCGGGTGTCACCGAACAGAGATCCGAGCGAGCCGGGCCGATCGCCGTGGCCGCCGTGGCTGCCGTGGCGGGTGGAGGGAAGCAGAAGGCTCCGAAGCCTCAGAAGCACGAGACGCCGACGCCAACGCGCATCGTGGTGAAGGCCAGAGCCGGTCCTCGGGATGACCAGGACCAGCCCATGGAGACAACACTGTTGCCCAGCGCAGTTCCGGCCCTTCCTGCCCAGGCCGGACAGGCTGAGCCACAGAACGTGTTACGCCCCATCATCTCCCCACCTGGTCACAAGGGCCAAGACCGGCACGGGCCAAATGCACAGGCACGTGGAGACCGTGGAGGTCGGGCAAGGCCACAGGCACATCAGGCTCATCAGGCACGAGGACAGCAAGCACCTCGTGCAGCACGCGGGGCCCCGCATGGTGCGGCTCCTCCTCGACTCGTCCAACGTGCAGCGCAGAATGCCAGGGCCTCGTCCGACAGCTCAGCATACATCAACATGCGCTCCTGCATACTCCTGCTTGCAATCTGCGCAACTTTTTCGCAGGCGATGCAGAGGTCACAAGGCCAAGTAGAGTGGATGCAGACGGCTGCCCAGCTGCGTGAATTGAGCCGCAACCAGGACCTCACAAGCCAGCTTAAGTTTAGTCTGGTGAAAATGGGATGCAGGAAAGACCTTCATGTGGACCTGCATGCTTCGGATGTGTTGTTGATCTGATTTGAGTTTGCGGAGGAGCATGGGACGCAACCTTTGCTCCCTGAAACCGCGGGCGACCTCACTGCGGAACGAAGCATGCACCAAGTGGCACTTGCGGTGCCTACGACGCACGGGGGGCCTGGGGCCAGGCGCGTGAATCCGGGCGTCCAGCGCGCTCCCCGCGCGACGCAGCTGTAGGAAAGGCCTTAGCCAGAGAGCCGGGATTGGTCATACGATACAGTGTCAGAGAGTCCCACTGGACACCTAAATCCAATATCGGATCCAGTCCCGCTTGCACCAGCATCTCGGCACGAGCAGGTGTCAAAGCTTTGTGTCAGTGTTCAGCTGGCTGGAATTCACTCAATCTGCCCAACTTGTACAGAGCAGCCACATTTGGAAGAGCTTTGTCTTGTGGTGTGCCGGTCTTTAACCTAAGCGCTTTTGTATGTGTGATTGCATTGGTTGGCAAAAGCTTTTCGTTGCGTGCTTGCATCGGCCGCGACCCAAGGTCGTTTGAGCCACCTCTGAAGTTAACACGGTTCTCGGATGTTCCTGGAAGAAAAAACGAAGAGTGCCCCCATGTGCTGCCAGCAAGGCTGGGCTTGGAACGTTGGGACGCTCAGAGACGTCACGAAAAGCATGGGCTCAGCGGCATAGAGCGTAGGAAAGAAACGACTCTTGAATCGAGCCATCCGCTGGCAAACAGCTTCAAGTGACGGTGCCGTTGTTCTGCTATTGAAGTCCTACTGCAGACATTGCAGCCCGCCTCCACATGGACTCGTCTTCAGATGCTCGAAGAGCATGAAGGTCCTTGCGGCGTTCTCTGCTCTATCCGCAGGACAGTGAAGATGACCAGCTATTGACGTCAGGAGTGCTGCAGTGACGCGAGCCTTTGTGGTCATGGCAGTGTGGCCGGGTCGCAAGCCCAACAGCTCACGTCTTCCTCCACGCAGTCCACTCGAGGTTGGCTTGCTGCTGCAGAACACCTTGTAACTCGGGCGTCTTAGTTGGGGAGAATCCCAATATCTGCGAAGTACGTGTGGGGACAGAACTGCATCGATTCCCATCAGCGAAGGTGAGGGTGTTTCTGTGGAGGCCGATGCTTGCTGTGTTACTGTTAATGCCTGGGTCTCCAGGTGCAGAATCCGAAGACCAGAACAGCAACAAAGCTGTGACCGGAAGGAATCTGTCGCGACGTCATCTCACCAACGAGCAGTCCGTCAACCCTTTGATGGGCTTGCTGAAGAGGCACTGCTCGGAGCGAGCAGCTTTGAGAGAGCGAGGGTTTGCAGAAAGGTATGCTGTGGGGCTAGATTTGTTTTTTCCATCACATGGTTTTGTCGTTTGTAGATTGGACTTGTCGTGCATGATTCGTGCGGTAGTTTCGGTCGGGTTGCAGTTGTACCTGAAGTGCAGGCTTGATGCCAGCGGCATGGTTCAGCACGGGCTTACGTTGCAATGTGGTTGGCAAGCTTCTTGATTGTGACGAGCAGGACATCGATTCTCTTCCAGAGGACGGGTGTGGAACTTTTGCTGCTACTGTCGCGGAGACGACGAAGCAAAGTACCAGTACGAGTACTGGTACAAATATTCGCACCAGCAGCTGGCACCAGTACTACTACTACGACGACGACAACAACAACTACTACTACTACTCACTACTACTACTACTACTACTACTACTACTAGTACTAGTACTAGTACTAGTACTAGTACTAGTACTAGTACTAGTAGTAGTACTAGTACTAGTACTAGTACTAGTACTAGTACTAGTACTAGTACTACTACTACTACTACTACTACTACTACTACTACTACTACTACTACTACTACTACTGTTGCTGCTCCTACTGCTATTCCTACTTCTACTCCTGCTCCTGCTTCCTGATCCCTCCTTCCTGCTCCTGCTGCTGCTCCTGCTACTGCTCCCGCTGCTGCTGCTGCTCCTGCTCCTGCTGCCGGTCCTGCTGCTGCTGCTGCTGCTGCGACTATTATCTCTCTGCCAGTAGAGGCGGAAGAGGAGGGACCAGGATGATGGCACGCCTCGCTGCAGCCGTTGGAAGCCTCTGCGCCGTGCGGCTCTGTCTTTGCCATGGCGGCGATCCTCCGCTTGGTGACCGGGGCCGGGTGGGTTTAAGTTTAGGGCTTCGTGCAGTGATTTGCCGACTCATCTTCCATTGGATGGCACGAGGGCTGCTCCTTCATGCTGATTCCTGCTGTGCATGTTCAGTTTAAATTCATGAGGGCAGAATCATATCCCGAACTCGAAATATCGAGACGGCAGGCATTTCAATTTTGTTGCCAAAGGCAGTTGTCATGTGGCACGTGCCCATTGCTCTGTCCGAGAAGCTGCATCTTGCAGGGCAAGAAGAAGGACAGGCAGTACCATCGCACACAGGTCGAGGCGCGAGGGACCTGTGCAGCGACGGTGTGCTTTAGAATGCGGAGCATTGTTCATTCGCCGGCATCTCAGGACAACCAGCCTGATGGCGACGATGAAGAGGCTCCAGTCGATCATACTCAATCGGGCAAGTTTGATGATGCACCCAAGGAGCTTTTAGCATGCATCCTGAAACGGCATGCGGGCATACTGTCTGGCGTCGTCCGTCCGCTGAGAGGAGAAGATCTTCATGGAAAGGCCAGGGATCCCGATGCCTCCCGTTCCTCGCTTTCGCCTCTACCTTTGCATCCGATGGATGGTGCTGACCGCAATAGTGCTCGGCCTGGAGCCCAGTGTATTTCTGACCCATGACAACAGCGATGAGACTAGACTGGAGCAGCTCGTCATGAGGCCTACTCCACGTGCTGGGAAGGTGGATGACGGAACAGGCTGTCTATGAGATCGAGACGGTCGGGCCTCATTTCAAGATTGGTGCATTGCGTTATGACGACAGCGTGCATTTGTTTGCTTGTCAAGGTGTCGGAGATAGTGCTTGACGTCGACAACTGTGACGTTGAGATGTTGTCTCTGCCGGAGAGCTTGCCGAAGAGCGTGGTGACAGTGCAGCAGCTCCTCTTGAAGTGACAAGTTTGTCTGCCGAACTGAGGGAGCCGTAGAACGTGCAGCGATTGTGCGGTGCAGTGATAGAAGGCTGTGGCACGAAACCACTTAGCGGATGTGAGGTATTGGAAGTTCATGAACCAGATCCATGGCGTCGACCGCAAAGACCTGTCTGACGGTGGAGAGAAGCTGACTGTGAGCCTTGACATGCGGGCCCAATGCTCAGGAGTTGTCCAGACTTGAGAGTTTGGTCGGCACATGACAGCAAACACCGCTGCCGCAGCTGCTGCTGCCGCCACGACTGCGACTGCTGATGCTACTTCTGCTGTTTCTGCTGCTACTGCTGCAGCTGCTGCTGCTACCGGTATTGCTACTGCGGCCACTGCTGCTACTTCTACTACTGCTGCTAACTGTTTCGGCTGCGGCTCTTGCTGCCACCGCCACTCTACCACCACCTCCACTGGTACGACCACGACGCCGACTACTAATGCTGCTCCTACTCCTGCTCCTGCTCCTACTCCTACCCCTACCCCTACTGCTGCTGCTGCTTCTACTTCTACTGTTGCTGCTACTGCTGCTTCCACGGCTACTGCTACCGCTACTCTTGCTCCTGCTACCACTGCCACTGCGATTGCCACCGCCACTGCCACTGCCACTGCTACTGCTGCTGCTGCTCCCGCTGCTGCCGCTGCTGCTGCTGCTGCTGCTGCGACTGCTACTGCGACTGCTGCACTGCCACTGAGACTACGACAATGATGACTGCGACTGCGACGATGATAACCCTTGGTGATGACAAATTGCATGCTGTGTTGGGCAGCGTGTTTGCAACAGGAGCCGACGACATGAGATGGCCTCCAGGTAAGGATGAAGACATTCTCAATGCACTCACGCATTTGACATCGCGGTGCGTGTCTCCTCAGGTCAAAATCCCAATGTTCCGGTGCCTCGTCACTATCTTCGCGCCCAAGGCTCGGTGGCCAAGCCCGCTGCAAGCATCGAATTTTGAAGGATTTGGGTCATCTTGTAAACCGACAAACTGCGAGATTTTCTGGCTACTCTGGCTACTCTAGCTCGGTGACCACACAAGACAGGCCAGCATCCATGCTTGATGACGAACACACTGCTGTACTCCCCACACAGCATGTCTCCTATGCTCCACAGCTGTAGCCGACTCTAAAGTCATCGCCTCATCTGGGTTCCTTTAAGGGCTCCTTCAAAGGGGTTTATAGGGGATCTAGAGTAGGGTTCTAGTATAGGGGCTGCTGTCAGGGCCATCTGGATCGCCTTTCCGGGCACGTTGGCGGCAGCGAACATTGCCGGATGATCATGTCGGAAGCCTTGGCCCAGGAGGTCGGATGCGGGGTGAACTACTAGAAGTGCTCGTTTCGCTAGCCGCTAGTCGTGAAGGCCAAGATGTCACTGCCATCCAAGATCCGACTTGTTGCAAGTATTTTGACCGTGAGTTTGGCACACTACACTTTCTAATCTGATGCGGAAAAGGTCGGAGATGTGGGTAGATGCTGATGCGAACCTGGGCAGGTGAATCTGACTTCGCAGCAGGTCTCCGTCCAAGTGGCAGCCCTGCCGAAGAAGTTCACACTGTCCAGTCTCGGGCTCAGCACTGCTCTTGCAGAAGTCTCGGTGTTGCTGTGAACCGCTGCTGTATTCCACAACCAATCCGTCTTATGTGTTTGTTCATCATACCGTATCGCAGCACATGGTGCTACATTTGGTTGTGTCTCATCACGCCATATTGCCTGATATTTGTCACAGAGCCTGCGTCATGGAACGCTCCCTATTTCGCAGGTACGCACGGCATGGTGGCCTTTCATCCCAGCGAGGTCAAGGAGGATTGGGAGGTCGACCTGCAGGCTTGGTGGGGACTATGTTGCTATGACAGATTCAAGACTCAGGCTTTACCAGAGGTTTGGTTGGAGCTGAGTGATCGTGCTGGAAACTCGCCAGGCCAGCAGCGTGAACGTCTTCGCCCAGATCCCCTCTGACATGTCGGTGAAGTTGAACGGTCATGCCAAGGAGAATTCGGTGCTCTGTGGTGATGCTGTCTCGACGACCGGTGCTGGGTGCCCTTTGCCGCTTTCGGGAGTGTTTCTTGAGAGATCGCTGAGAGCAGAGAGGCACAGGGAACGGGTGCTTCCCGGAAGGTACGAGATGACGTACAAGGGCGCCTCTGCAGGCGTGAAGGGCAAGTTCTCTCTTAACGTCCTTAAGGAGGCGGCTGGATATGTGCAGGCGGGGCTGGACTCGTCAGCCTCGGGCCTGGAGGTTGTCCGTGGGAGCTCCCAAGAGAAGCCGGAGCTCTTCAACCACTCTGCCGTGCAGCTGGAGGAGCTTTCGGAGTGGATGAAGCTCCGGGCACAAGGTGCTGCGCCCTGGGTCGCTCGCGTGCACGTGAACGGCCCGCAGCTTCCCAGGGGAAGCTGGGAAGTCCTTTCCTCGGAAGCTTTCCTCACGGTTCCGCTGCAGTGGTACGTGCTGCTCTCTGCTGGCACGCTGCGGCCAATCGTGAAAGAGGTTCACATTCACCCAATGGGCTTGGGAGCTTTGGCGCGAGATATAATTCGGATCATGATGCTTAGCCCGCCCCCGTCTACACGGACGGAAGGGCTTGGGAAGTGCTGTCATCCAAGGAGCATGGCCCCTTGAGGAGCTCGAAGAGATCCACAACCGAACCAAGCGGCGGTTGGTGCCAGTCCTGGACAAAGAGTTCCAGCTCCTGCTGCCCTACTTTCAAAAGGCCGACATCCATCGGGACCCTTATAATCTAGGGACCTAAATTCCCATGATAATGTAATTATAACAAGGAACCTCCAAAATAGTATTGGTAAAGTACTGTATGAAAGCACAGAAAGAACTGGTGCCCTCCGATGTCGTGCCAGGCAGAAGCACCGGATGCCACGGTGGCCTGGGTTCCCCACCACGGCCGGCCTTTGGTCATGACCAAGGCCACCAACGGCTGGGCGGCCTCCGTCCTAAGCCTCACCCAGGCCTGGCAAGTGAACCCCCCTTTGTTTAGTTTGCAACCGACTTGAGAGCAGGCGCCAATTCGCAGCATCCCGTCTCGAACCAGGTCAATGTACTCATGTTCCTCATTGCTGTTGCCTTCAATATTGTTGTTGCCTTCACAGTGTCCGCCGCTTTTCTTATGTGGCCGGAGCCTTACGCCTTTGAAGGCAAGTTGAACGGTGCAGGAGTATGGAGCCAAGCCAGCCTCCGGGATTCTGAGCCCAGTCAACTTGCAGCAGACCGAGGCTGCAGAACAATGCAGAAGCGCAGCAGGCCCGTGCATCAGATTGAACTAGCGCCGCGAATACTCAGGGGTTAAGTTTCCGAATACACTTGACTTTCCGGAGTAAGCGGTGTTGATGATGCTTGAGGGGCGGCTGCTGCCAACGAGCAGGTGGCTGGTGACGTTTCAATCTTGCTTTTGTTGGTTTGGATCTGTGGTGTTTCGACCTAGGCTCCTGAGTCAGCACTGGATAGCTGAACCATCAGGGAAATCAAGCTGAACAGAAGCGAGTCCGGTCACTGTTGCAACAAAGCGCAAGTAATACCACAAAACGCACCCTGAAAGCCCGCGAAACCCGCAAGCAGGGCCATCAAAGGCCAAACAAAGCCCCTCAAACCCCAAGGCCTGAAGCCTTAAACCCGGGAGACAGGATGCCTCAAATCGCGAAGTGTAGCAAGAGCCTCAGGGCCCCAAGCCCTAAATCAACGCATTTCCCTGGTCACCCCGGCCTAAAATCACTAAGGTCCACTAGTCATCCCTTATACGCCTAGTTGCGATCTGCTGCTCGTAGCCCTCATGGTCCCATGTCAAGTAAAGTAGAGGTGTGGCGAGATGGAAACTTGAGAGGGGAGTGCAATACAACAGGAGTTTTTGCAGTTGTCATGTATTTTCATGACACTCCCAAATACAATCCCAGATAGTGCTGTCTCACTCAACAGACGTCGAACCATATGCTTCGCCTGGACTGTCCGAATGTGAGCGCCGAAACCCTAAACCCTCGAACCTTTGGGCATCTGGCTTATTCGAAAAGCGAGGGTGTAAAACCCTTGGGCAATCCGCCGACTGAGTAGGGAGTGGATGTGCGCAGGCTTTGAGCTCAGAGTGAGTGTGCTGCCAAAAAGCCCCAAGCCCTAAACCAATACTGTTTTGCGGGTTTCCTTCTGAAAATGAAAGTATATCGGCCCCCAAACCCGATTCTAATTATTAAGGCCCCTATACTAAACCCCCATACTACCCCTTGTAGTAACCCCTTATAGGATTCCCTTCTAAAGGGTACCTTAATTCCTTTTAACATGGAGCCCCAGGAGATCATGGACGAGGCCGTCACGACGGCCTCCTCGCATCGAGTGGGAAAGATTGGCAGCGGCAAGTGCCGGCCTCGGCTTAGGGTTTAGGGTTTAGAGTTTGAAGAAGCGGGGGAGGGCTCTTTGCTGTAACCGGGCTGCTGGACAACGAGGCCTGCTGCAAAAAGGGTTTAGAGTTTAGGGGCCTCAGCCTCGCAAAGGCCTCGAAACCCCAAAGAACAGACAGAAAGCAAGAACAACAACGACAAACAGATTCATAATACTCATAATATTGGGAAGAATAGTAATTAACAAAGCTATTCATCATACTTGCCTGCCAAGAATGATTATTGTAAGGTTAATGAGTATGGCTTTCACTAATGGTACTAGTGGACTTGTTTTGGTATTGTTAGTACTCGGGATGAGTATTAATTAGGATCATTAGTATTTCTAGGTGTCTGTGTTAGTAAGCGTATGAGTATTTATGAGTATTAGTATAGAAATTTTTAGTATTGGTACTGCTTTTTCAAACGGTCAGAGAAGCGCCTCATAGCCTTGTCGTCGTATCACCGGGTGGCCCTATGCACGGTCAATGTCCATGTTTCGGGCATTTTTGCATGGCGAGTGTGCAGGATCAACACCAGCTGGCGAGTGATCGCTACACACGTGGAGCAGCCGGATCAAGGAGTCATTCTGCGCTGGCGCAAGCGGACTGGGGTGCAGCAATCCGTGCCCATGCTGCATGTGAGCTTCGTACCAAATCCTCACGGCCTCAGCAAATGCGAGCCGAGACGGGCCCTGAGGTTTTCTTATGCGTGAAGGCCAAAGCAGACCCGGATCCCTCACGTGGCCTGGAGGGTGATGAGATCTGCATCGATATGGCGAACCAAGAGCGTGTTGACATGAAGAGCGAGAGCAACATCATTGTCGAGTTCTTCTTTTCTGCCTCAGGCCTTGTTTTGGCCTTCCGATCTTGCAGAAGCCTTGCAGCCACTGCGTGTTTTGTCCTGGCTCCACAGGCAGCAAGGGCTACCCTGCAAACGCCGGCTACGAACCCACCGGAAAGGATCTAAAGTGCCAGTACAACTATCGCTTCCAGATCGAGGGCTACAACCACAACCAGGATGGTCTCACGCTGTCCACTCACTCGTTTCGTGTAACTAAACGCTTCCCCTCTTCGCCATCCCAGCCCTCTGCACTGCAGGTCCCCATGCTGCAGCCACTTCATGCTTGCATCTATCTTTCTTTCGCGCTGCTCTATCACATGCTCGCTTTCACCTGTAGCCTTGAGTTTTGCATTCGATGTAGTGTAACAGCAACGAAAGGAGCATGTGGCGACCTCAGACTGGTCCAACGAGGTGTACATCAAGCCCAGGAGACCCCACCTTGATTCTTCTGGTGGGGTGCTTCGAACCCTTCAAGATCTAACCCGTAATCCCCGAACCCCCGAAAGCCGCTGCAAGAAGCCAGTCCCAGTTGTGAGTGCTGAAAACCCCTTCAAGCTTGACTCGCCTGCGAGGAGCACGGTCTTTGACGTGCCCTTGCGCATTCTCAAGTCGAATTTTGCCGTCCCAACCAACTCTTTGGAGAGCCCTGGCTGCAAGACCTTTATGTGGTATGAGCATAGTACTACTACTGGTGATTCAGTAGAACTTGTCCTATGTATGATAATGCTGTATTAGTTTGCTATCGGTACTGTCGCCCACATCACTAAGTTGACATGAGTAAGCCTTTCGACAGCTCTATTAACGTCTTTCTGGCCAGGTACTTTGTGGAGCATTTCGCGGAGTTCAACATTCACGGCAAGCATCCACAGCAGTTGGTGATATTGAGCAGCTGAGATGCAAGCACCAGGCAATCTTTCGTCTCAGTGAATCTCACAAGGCATTCCTGCATATCTACACGAGGTAAAATCAAGGTCTGCTACCACAAGAACTGGAATGACTTCCGAGCTCTTTGGCTTTAGGCAGATTCGAAGTCAACGCGGGGTTATGACTTTCCATCTGCCAAGGACTGCAAGTCAGACTTTCGCCTCACCGCCTACATGGGCGAGAGCAGTGTGAAATGCGAGAAGGACACGAGGTCGGGCACTGTCCGGAACTTTGACACAACCGGACTCTTTCAACCGCTGGACGTGGCCGTTTGGCATCGCAATTTTGGTGCATCACTCTCCAGCCTTCTTGCTTCTCACGGGGCTGGCGCGGGGTTCGTAGACTGAGGGCATGGATATTGACGACGACGAGGAAGCCCGCACCCAGGACTTGCAAGTAGCAGAGAAAAGCGACAAGCATCGCCATCAGAGCCAGAACTCTTGGTCTGTGAGGAACTCGATGATGCGATCATCGGACCCAACCAGTCGCTAGAGCTGGGTGCAGCAGATCGAAGGTGGCAGCAAAAGGGAGTGTGCAGTAGAGTTCCGAAGCCAAAGCTTCTGGCAGATCCCCGAAACAGCTGCTTGAGCTTCGGTTGCCATCTTGAAAGCTTGCTGGGAAGAGGCTTACGGATGTTTTCATTACGCTGCGAAAGTCCTCCGGGGAAGACGTCGCTGAAGGCCGACCGGGCCACTGCCGAAGCACCCCGTTGTTTCGTACATCGAAGCGTCGAAGAGGGTCAACTTTGCAGGTAAGCTGGACTGGTGGGACCTCGTCGAGGCTTTCGAGCAAGATGAGGACCAGCAGATATTCGTGGAGCTCGTCACGGACAAGGCGAGGGTCTCACGTGAATGCCACATGCTCTGGAACCGCCAACCCGAACAGCCCTCGCTGTGACAGTCCGAGTTGCGAGTGTCTAAGCCCTAGATCCCGACCAAGCAGTGCAGGCATAGGATTAAGGCCAGCCACAAGAACAAACAAATACACGAAAAGCAAGCGAGACTGTCTATCAACAGAACCCCCTCCTGACAAAGCTTCCGTACATGTGTAAAGTATTTTCTCAGGTTGAAGGCGAGTTTGACGAGGAATGGCTTGTTTGGGTGGAGGCCGAAGTCACTTTCCGAAATGAGCTCCTCGACGTCAGATCTATGTGGCCACCTTGCATTGCAGGTTTTCGATTGGGTTGTCCGCGTTCGTGGGTCAACAGGCCTAACCCGGCTGCACCCGAAACTCCAGCAAGCCGAAAACCTCACGCACAGACCCAAGCCGTGAGAGTCCGAGCCCGAATCCTTCAGGCGGCAAGATTCCACTCTCTGCCAAGCTGAGGCTGGATCCCGAGTGTGAGCAGATGCCTTTCAAGGACCGCTTCTTCCAGTCGGACCCACCCGGAGAGATGCTGGGCAGAGGGGTTCTTTGCAAATTCAGAGGAACAAGACTTGGGGTCGGGAACTGGCATGATTTCTGGTATGGACTTTCCCCCTTTGGTCTGTTCAGGGCCGATCACAGGCCCGGTAAAAAGCAGCCAGAACCCTACACCACGGGCTCGACCACTGGCTTATCGCTTTTGGGGCCCTTGCTGTAGAATTAGATTGGCAAAAGTGCCTCAGCCAGGGGAGGGTTCAGGGGCTGGCGACTCTTACTTGGGCCGCAAGTGGCAGTAGCTGAGCAAAGATATCTAGAATCGAGTTCTTGTCTTTCCGTATGCAGATGTATATGCACACCAACAAACCAACCTACCTACCTAGCGACCTGACTGAATGCATGCGTGCATGCACGAATACATACATACATACATACCTACATACCTACGTACCTACGTACTTGCGTACGTACATACATATCTTACTGATACCTATTCCGAGATATCTATGGGTTCACGTTCACATGGCTGCTCGAGCAGTCGTGACTATGTACATTCAGCAAGTTTCTGGCTCGGTTCAGCGGCTTTTCTCTGAGCAGGTTGGCCATAGCCACCTCGCATGTGCAAATGTGCGCGCAAACCGGACATTCAAGGCAGGTGCACGGCACCAGCGAACCTTCCACCAAGGATCTACTACGAGGGAATGGAGCGCTTCGTCGCTTGGGATCCGACAAGACCTCCAGTTGCAGATATCATCATTTTGCTGTTGCAGCTGACACCAGATGTCAGGTTTTCACCGCTTTTCCTGAGTACAAAAACGTAGATGAGCCCTGGACTGAGGTGAAGCCTTTGCTGAGCCTTAGCCGCAAGCATTCCCAGCGAAACTGGGCCAGCAAGAGCTGGACGGTTGTTTTCATGTCCAGGACATCAAGGATTTCGACATTTACATGAGTTATCCGGATGATGTGCCTTGAATGCAACGTCAGATGTATCCCGCAGGGTTGTGACCATCTGCAGCGTGACAGAGGCAGTGACCCCCACAGTCCCCCATGACCGTGCAAGGATCTGGATCCTGTGTTGCTGGTCGAGAAGGCACAGGTCTCGAACGGCGGGGCTTCGATCATGATTACCTTCCCAGCAGATGCCTCAGACATAGTCGCTCGAACTCTGCGCAAGAAATCGAGGGAGGAAGGCACCAGGCGAAGCGTTTCACCAGCCGTTTTCAGCCGCACACGTGGTGCTTAGGCAGGCATCTCTGCCAACTACGTGGTTTGCCAGATGGGCGTGGAGGCCTTCAACCAAGACGGGGAGGTGACCTACGCGAGGAGTGTCCTGGCAGACGACACGTCCGATGCTCTCTGCGATGCATGAAATTCATGACCGCTTGTTTGAGGCACTCTGGATGAGCAGATGCCGATGAGATCGCATCGCTTCATCATCTGCCGCACATGGAACCTAGCGGAGTTCGAACTTATGTACGCGCCACTCGCGCCAAGAAGCAGAGACTTCCGGACCCACTCGTTGGCATTGTCGCCTTTTTTCTCCGAGGTCATTCTGCCGAATGAACAACATGGAGATGGAGCGGGTCACGGAGGATGCTCTGGCAGGCTACGGAATGGTGGTGGCACGGGAGCAGCTCAAGGCAGGTGTCGCGGATATGCATGCCTACAGATGTATGTACGTACGTACGTAAGCAGGTATGTAAGTAGGTATGTGTGTGGGCGTGTTCACAGGTGTAGATACAGAGACTCAGATATAGAGATACAGAGATACAGAGATATAGAGATATAGAGATGCAGAGATGTAGAGATATAGAGATGTAGAGGTATAGAGATAGATAGAGATACACATGTAGAACAAGGTGTGTGTTTGTGTGTGTATGTCGTGTGTATATATATATATATATATATATACACACATGAGGTTGTGTATGGTGCCCTGACCTGCCGGTGCTGGCGTCGGAGAGGGTTGGACAAACGTGTGTGTGTGTGTGTGTGTGTGTGTGTGTGTGTGTGTGTGTGCGTATATACATACAGACGTACATGCACCGCCGCCAGATCTCGCCTCTCGTGTTGTATGACGGCAGCGGCATAAGTGAAAGCGAGCGCACAAGAGATGCTGTCTCCAGCCAGGTGGTGCACGGCCTCCGGCAATCTTTGGTGTTTGAAGAGGCTCTGGAGGAGGATCGGGTGCTGGACTGCCCGGGGCTGCTGCCTGGCTTGACTTTCAAGTCAGCGTCTCACCGTAGTCCGGCATTTGATGGTGGTCCTCGGCACGCAGCTGGCACTTCCATTTCTAGTCAGTGCTCTGGTCCCGAGGATCATGATCAGCGAGAAGAACATCATCGCAAAGCATCCCAGCACCCTCACGGGCGAGGCCATCATGGCGGGCTCCGATGCTGGGGGAAGTTTGCGGCCCAGTCTGCCTCTTATGAGATCCGATCCCAGTTGCCTTCAAGAGCAGCTGGCTCCGAGGTATCCTCCGTACCATGTCCTCTGGCAAGTCACCATTGCTCGGCGGATCCAGCTCTGGCGGCGGACGCACTGGTGCCCGGGCGGGGCCGATCGTCATCAAACCGCGGGACGCCGAAGTAGACATGCCAAGCCTAGTTGCAACATATCCCAGCCATGGACTTGACGGTTTGATCTGAGTTTGCTGGCCTCGTGTTTTGAGGCGGAGTAGCAGATGCGTAGGCCCTGGATTCTCTTTAAGATCAGCAGTGTTGCTGCGAGGAGTATCGGGCGACCTTCCAGACCGTTGGCTTCTTGGAGAACCTTGCATCGCAATTTAAATGAATGGATGAATGAATGGATGAAGGTCTGCAAAAGTATCTTCAACAATGTCCCCTGCAACTGCTGGAACAGTTCCGATTACCAAGCCGGGGCTTTTGCGTGAGAGACGTTGCGCTCAACGAGTTGAATGCTACGTCTTGCTTCAACAGCCACCCCTCTGTCGCTACCCTGACCCAGATGACCATGATTCACGGGGTTTAGGGTTTAGGGTTTAGGGCTGGCCTACCCAGGAATGCCTGGCCTCGCTACCCCAGTGTTTTCGACATCGGCTACGGAACTGGCTGGATGCCCAGCTTCTTGCGGCTTGGAGGCAATGCTCTTCTTTGATGCTGAAGTCTCAATTCGCAAACTAGCTCGTGCAAGAAAGATGGGCGAGGAACGCCACGTGGTACCTCACTTCATTCGAGCTCGATGTATAACAAGACAGACAGCTGACAGGTCAAAGTTCAGTTCCCTCTCGCATATGTCACTGTGGTACTACTTCGCGAACCGCCTCACTCTTGGAAACAGTTCTGCCTTCGGAGCCTTTCATCGTATGAGGCTGCTGAACTCCTTCTACCCCGTGGACAACATCATCAATGCCTTTGCGCAAGGTGTTTCGGCAGGGCACCGAGGGCGTGTAGACCCTTGCCCTCAGGCTCCTGGTCAAGACCCTGGGTTTCGGCTGCAGCTTGCAGCTAGAGGTCAACATGCCATAGGAGAGACTCGGACCTGAAACAACCGTCCACGGTCAGCGGTGAAAAGGAGCATCGAACTTATGGGGAAAGCGCACCACTTTCTATCCAATGCCACCAGGGCAACATTGGGGGTAAATACCAGGCGCAGGAAATCGTCTCCCCACTATGCCGCATTCCATGCCCAGGTGCCGAAACATTGCAGCTTCAGGTGGCCTACCAGACAGTGCAGGTTTTGGGAGGAAAGCGAGTTGCCCTTTGGCAGCAAGCATCTTTCGTAGCCGAAAACCACGAAAAGATGCGGCTTGTGTGGTTGACACATTTTCTGCAGATTTCGTTTGCTCTTGTTTCCTGCTCATGCCGGAGCAGTGATGCTGGAGCAGAAAGTGCCGGCTTAGGCAGACAACTTCCTGGGCTTCTTGCAAGCCCCGTTGTATGGTCTGGTTCCATACTGTTGTGAAGGCTTCCTGCCGCTTGTCTGCACATAGGTACGTTAGCACCCGCACCGACCGTTCCCTGGACTGACGTGATGAAATAGTCCTTACTGTTATGGTTAGTGACATCTTGGCAACGAGGTACTTGCTTCAGATGGCATCATTTCTCCTCCTTCCGTTCCTGCTTCTGGTTTTTGGCCTTTGCTACGAGCTGGTCGGCATGTTCTTCGCAACTAACCCCGAGGATGCCGCTTCACGAACCGTCCCTGGCGCCCTTTTTTCCTAAACCCCTAGACCCTGCCATGCGGGCTCGTCCTTACCATGCCGGAGACAACAGCACCGTAAACCATAAGCAGTCCATAAGCGGCCATAAGTGTTGCATCCTCAGGAGTACGATGTCGTCCTGCGGTCGAAGTCCCACATTCCTGACATGACCTTCTCTGGTGTGGTTTCAGGCCGCCAGCGCCTTCCAGATTGCGGAACTATGCGCAAGCTCAGAGCTTTTGCAAGAAGCTCCACAGCTTGGCACCGTGTTGCCCATGATCACTGCAGCGTAACACAAAGAAAACCACGAGCACCCAAGCCAAGCAAACCCTCCCTGCTGCTGGGAGCGTCGCAGTGCAAAGGCTCTAGAGTTGCCTTGTCCGAAGCCGATCGTTCTTCCCAAGGTTAAGAGCATGATGAGCCAGCACAACTAGAGTGTTAGAGACACGTGGACAGGAGTTACAGTTACCTTTGTCTTCACTCAGTCGTCGTCGTGAAAGCAGAAGGCAATAGAAGGCATAGCACAGGCGCAGGAGAAGCGTCGGCAAAGAAGGCGCTGGAACTAGAATTGGCGGCATAGCATGCATTGCCGAAGGCAAAGAAGGCAAACCAAGATGCATGGCATTTCGACTCGCAGCCGTGACACGCATCAACGGTCCCGGAGAGGCCACACGCTCGAGGATTGGCTGGGCGGCCTCACTTCTGTGTCTTACGTCGCACTGCTGGGCAGCGCGGGAACCGCCGCCCTCATGCTCCTCTTGATCTGCGAGTCCAACTTCTTGAGGTGGGAGAATGTTTTGACGGTTGGGCGGTGTGTGGAAGGTTTAAGGGCCTAGTCCTAGTGGTGTTCGTAAGGAACTTGCCGCCCTTCGACTTCCAACATTCCGTTCACCGTCTCATCAACGCGCTGGGCAACATCATTGTGACCACGTACTTGTGGGCAATACTGTCCTTCGTGATCTCCAGCGTCCTGTGGTTCGCCATGGTCGTGGTCATCTACCCAGAGCAGGCAGAGTGGAGTAGGTGAGCAGCGACATTAGCTTACCCTAAACATCCCTAAACCTTTCTAGATGAATTTCTGGCCCTTGCACAGCACCTTGTTTTGTCGGGTCATGAAATCGGTCTAGTCTTTGGCAGATGCTTACGGCGCTTGCCTGCGCGGGCGGTCTTGCGGCCGTGTTTGCTACCATGATTTCTGGCTTGAAGACGACGAAGGACTGAACCGAAGGGAAAGTCGCTTGAAACTGCAGCCGCTGCTGCCCTGAACCTGAACCTGTGAAAACTTTCAGTGCGCTGTAGCCATTGTGACTCAAGAGCAGCTCGCGTGGTCCCGGAAGACATGTACTGGTTCTTCCGCCTCTTGCTTGCTGCTGGCATCTCGAAAGCGGCCGCAACATGCCTCAAAGCCCAAGCCTATGGTACCGCAGATCAGCGGGGCGAACCCAACAGCACGCACGTGAAGGATGCTGAGGCCTGCCAGTCATCCTGCGCGAGCTCAAACTGCAAGTACTTCACGTACGACACGAGCACCGGGGATTGCTGGCATCTGGGCCAGGTCTACTTCATTCAGATGCAGGAGACTGCCATTTCGGGGACAGTTGGCTGCCTCCTGCAACGGGAGGATGAGGACTCAAGGAAAGAACATACCATGGGTGCCCTGAAGAGAGCAGCCGAGTATGTCCACGATCGGACGACTTCTGACCAGATGCGCAAAGAGGCTAAGCATGTGAAGTGGTCCTGTGAGAATGGCTTTCTGCAGGAGGAGAGTTATCAGAGCGTGCAAGATGTGATGGCGGGTCTTTCAGACCTGGTCGCCACGCCGGATGGACTTGTTCAAGCTGCCTCGCACGGGGTCGTCCTGACAACCGATGATATGCAGTGGCTCACGCAGCACATGAAAGGAGAGAGTGTTACGATGGACATGAAGGGGTACGAGGATGCAGAGCCAGGTGCCGCCTCCGTGGCCTGCGGCTCCTCAAACGTTGGGTGTGACCAGGTGAGTGGCAGCTTTGGGGCTGGCACGCCTTGGACTGGTGCCCGTGTGAGGTACTGTTTCGACTTCCAGCTTGCCCCAAGCAGCAAGCAAGCCCTGCAGTGTGCCATGGAGAAGATCAGAAGTCATGTTCCTGGCATCGTGTTTCAGGACGTCGGCTACACCGGAGTCGACTCCTGCGGTGCTTCGCCGGCAATTTACTTGCAGTCAAACGGCCGCCGCAGTGGCAACGGCTGTTGGTCAGACATTGGCATGTCGTCTTCCTTCTTTGGTGGGAATCAGAAGCTGAACTTGCAAGCTCCCGGATGCGACAACTGTGGCACCGCAACCCATGAGCTGCTCCATGCCATGGGCATGGCACACGAGCAGTCAAGACCTGATCGGGACGACTACATCAGCATCATGTGGAACAACATCAAGGCTGGGATGGATGGTCAGTTTACCAAGAACTCGAAGGCGGATACTCAGCGGCCCTACGACATCATGTCCATCATGCACTACGGTTCACGATCCTTTTCAAAGAACGGTCGGGACACCATCCTGGTAAAGCCCAAGGGTTACCAGGTCTACACGACAGACCCTTCGCAGTTCCAATACTACCGTGTGGGTCAGCGGATGGGAATGAGCAGGTATGATGTTACTCAGCTTGCGGACCTCTACGGCTGTCCCGCGCAAGACATGTATCGGGCCTGCAACCCCGCGGCCAACGGGGGCGGTAGCGGCAGTGACAACTTCCTTGCCAAGGTGTTGCAACCCGACGCGATCTTCTCCGATTCGGGCTTGGTTGTTCTTGTCGTCGGGTTGCTGGTGAGTGTGGTTTGCTGTGGCGGCGTCGTCTGCTTCTGCTTCATGGGTGGCGGTGGGGGATCCAAAACATCGAGAGCCTACTACAGGGTGCCTTGATGAGATTCCGTTTCAATTGTGCCCAAAGTGGCTTAGTGAAGTTGACATGAACCTTCTGGGACATCCGGCTGAAGGTCGGCTATGACTTAGATGCACATGCTAGTTTGCAGTCGTTAAACCGACAGCGACTGGCCTTGCTGGCAAATCAATTTTGTCCCCAAGAAGAATCACCCCGGTCAAACGACCGCAAGGCTGCAATGATTCAGGTACGACATGGTGCCTCATACATCGTCCTGTTGTCCGTAGGTATTCCAGCTTTGGTACAACAGCAATGTAGCGACGTACAACTATACGACACTACGTGGCATCATGCTATTCTGGCCGATGCCACAGCAGCACCTGGCACCTGCTGCTGACCATGCAAGCCCGTTTCACCACGACCGCAGCACCTGTAGCGCCCAAGCACAGAAAACAAGCTGGAGCTGCTGAGCCGTGTCTTGATCTCACCGCGTGCGGCAGTGGAGCCGAGAGTTGGGGCTAGGAAAGGCGTGAAGACTTGCACCCACACACACACACACAGACACACACGCCCTCGTCGCTCCACGGCAGCATTTCGATTCCCGGAAGGATGAGCTGGAGCGGTCCCTGCGAGAGGAAATCCCCGAGGTCTTGGAGCTGGCTGGGGCCCTCAGCTGCCTTGTGACATGTGGTAGGCAGATGAGCATCAATTGCATCCTGCGGTGTGAAGATTAAATGTTTCTGTTGTTCTTGCGGACGGATTTTAGCACTGGGAGAACGGGAACAAGGCAGAACAGGAGATACGCTGCAGGCCTGCGCCACTTTCCTGGATCAGTACGACAAAACCTCGTCTGGACGTTCCAAGGCACGGGGCGAAGGGACATTGCAGGTCCTGTGGGGCTTCACGTATTTTCGTATGGCCCCTGTGCCTCTGTCACACTATGTAGGAAGACTGCACACAAATGCACGCATGCACGCCCGGACAGCACCGCTCCATCTCGCTCTATCTAAGCCCTAAACCTGTCGAAGAGGCGGTGAGTGCCCAGTTCCGAAAGCTGGAAGAGTCCCTGGCAGAGTGCCTCAGCGCGTTATCACGACTCAAAACATCACTGCTTTTCGTCTGGGGTTGCAAGTTGTGATGGTAAGCATGTCGTGCTATTGCCTCGCCTGTTATGACGGGGTTGGTGGCTTGTCCTTGCGAAGCAATAAACGGAGCATGTGTCCTGATTGAGAAGGACGCCAGTATCCCGGTAGCAGTCGTTAGAACGGCGAACTTAGCCAACAAAACGATGGAATCAAGGGGCACGCAGAGCGACAAGACCTGTAAGAGCAATAGGATAGCCAGTACAAGGCAACATTCTGAGCAGAGCAATGACAGTCCAGGAGGCAAACATAACAGTCCGATGAGTACGAGTGCTAAGAACAGGATTAAGACGACTGATTAAGAAAAGGCTGGAGAGTGGCAAGCACAACAACCGAGGCCTTTGTCTCCTAGCAAGGCTAGTGCCAGAAGCACAGCTTGCTGTGCTGCCTTAAGATCGGCAGGGGTAAGAAAAAATACCTAACGGTGAGAACAAGAACGTCGAAAGCCAATCACGAGAAGGGTAGTAATGTTCCTGGGTCCCTGGATGTCTTTTTGGGCAGTTGTTTCTCGTTTCTGCATGCACCGCAAGAACTGTCAGATGTTTGGGCCGAGGAACTCCTACAGATACGTGCGGACACGCCTGAGCCAGAACAAGGACGTCCAGGACGTTCCTACCTGGCGTTGTCATGTCGTGGCCTTTGACGTTCCTGAACACGATGCATACTGACGGAAGGGCTGTGAGGCTTTGCGGTCGAGAGACGCCAGGAAATCATCGATGTCAGGAACAAGAAGCCGCCGAAGGAGGTATTGGGGTGACTCGTCAGACTTTGGACGGAAGGTTCTCAAAACCAAGATGCCATTTCGAGTCAAACCAGGCAGGGAGCATCGGCAGATCCTCCCGACACAACACAAGATCAGAAAACGAATGACAACAGCACTTGCATCATCATCAACATCAAAATTAAGAGCATGATCATCATCACCATCATTTGCTGCTCTACCACTCTTCCTCCTCCTGCTACTGCTACCGCTGCAGCTACTGCTGCTGCTGCTGCTGCTACTGCCAGCCCGACTGCAACTGCCATGATTGGTTCTCGGCTATTCCGAGCAAGAGTGGTGCCTTGTCAGGAGGATTAACGACAGCATTAGCCGCCCTCTGATTGCCCAGGAGTTTGTTCAACCGGGCCCTGGTCAAGGAGAAGAATTGGGCGGCCATCACGGCCAGCGAGTGCCCTGCCTGAAGCCCGACGATTGCTTCATGCGTCTAGGATCTCCAGTTCGAGTACTAGGTTCCATCCGTAGGGTTGAATGCCACTCTGCACCCGCGCATGGATTTAAACGGTTTCTGCCATGCGAGCGCTGGTCTCGGGCCCTGCGACGTGTCTGGGCTTTACGGCTTTGTGCCTGGGACTGGAGGGGGCCTTTCAGTGCAAGGTGCGGAAGTGAACCCAAGCGTTTATCAGCACCGCATCTACAGGAATGGTGATGGTTCTGCAGTCGAGACGACTGAGACAGTTCTCGAGTCTTTAGGCGCGGCCCAGAAGTTCGTAAGGGACTGCCACTGTGTGGAGAAGTGTGAGCAAGATCTAGCCTGAGGCCTGAGGCTTGTCGATTGGATGTCCCGTGAAGCGTTTCCCGTAGGCCAAGTCATTCATGGTCGCAGTTTTCGAAGTTTGTTGTAGCGAGAAAGAAGCATGGAGACCAGCCTTCTGAGAGTTTTTGGAGTGCTGCCAAGTGTGAAAGGTTCGGCTCGGTCAGACTAGGAGTTTGAGTCAGGAATGCGCACTCCATGAAAAGCACGAACCCCGAAGTCTGCCTGCTGCCGGCTTGATGTCAGGCCTGCCGCAGGAAGATACGAGTGTCATGCCCTATCTGGATCTGTAGCTCGGAAGCATTTCCAGAAAGCTTTGGATGGACTTGTGACGACGGGTGATCTGTTGTTCCTTGCCAGAATGAAGCTTTGTTTGCAGGACTCACGTCCCTCCATGCCATGCTTCCCGACTCGCTTCCCAGGCGGATGCGCTTGGAAGACAAGGAGCGTGAGGAGGGTGGCGAGAACATCCATACCTACGGTTCAGAGCCGATGCCGCATCTGAGGCATGTCGCACGCTTTCGTCTGTAACATGAGACGCTGAAATTCACACCCATGTGTGCAGGCAGAACATGGCAAAACTGTAGGCAGTGGTTTCGGAAGTGCAGCATGGTGTTGGGAATGCAGGAGGTTTAGCACTAGTAGTAGCAGTGTCTCACTAAGGATCTGCAGGAGAAGCTGATGAAGGTCTACGTGCGCATGCAGGAATGTGAAGTTTTTTCAGGGAGTCCCATCCCTTATGCCTGGTGATTGCAGACTTTGTATGCAAGAATCCATGCGCCGAGCGGCACTTCAATTTTGCAATGCGCTTTTGAGTTCCATGTGCAGGAGCGGCACATGGACGTGGCTCCAGATGTGGACGATGCTCTTCGCAACCCAAAGAGGTTGGCAATCTGCAGCTTTGCCGCTCTTAGAGAGCCCATGGCCTGCATGGCCTAGAAGTGCGCATGTCTGCTGCTACCAAGGCATGTCCCGAGCCAACGGTGCAAAGTTCAAGGCCCTGGAGCGCATCAGCGAGGGCAAGGACGCCCGATCTTCGCTCCAGATGCTCGGACAAGTGGGAAGTGGGCACTCCCAGGTATGTGACATGACATATCGACAGCAGCAAACGAATTGGCAACAAGAACTCATTCCTATCAGTGCCCATTGCTTCTTCTCCAACTTTTAGCAGTCGGAGTAAGTAGGTAGTAAGTAGTAAAGGGGGGGGGGTTGGGTGGTAGGTGGTCTACGCTCACTACGACGACGACTATCACTACTCCTACCCCTACTCCTACTCCTACTCCTACTGCCACTGCTGCCACTGCCACTGCCACCGCCGTCATCGAAACGACCGTAATAATAACGTGTCATGATCCTCCTCGCTGGCTGGCACTGCCGCGGGTCTCGCTGACCCCATCAGCCGAAAGCCCAGGTCCCTCAAGTACTGCTGTTGTCCAATGGTCAGCCGAGAGGTTGAGCGCGTGTGGAATGCGATCAAAATGACCCGGTGTCCGACCACACGTAGGTTGCATGCGGGCAGCGTGGGTGCAGCACGTGAAAAGGTTTGGCAATGGTCATCAACCGGCCTGGGCCCGAGCGATAGTCCACGAAAACAGAACCAGTCGGGTGTGCCTCCCACAGCCACCGCGCCATCGGCTGCACGGTATGATAATGTTGTATGTCCGTGCCTCGTTGGCGGCGTCCCTGTGCACAAATGATTGTACGTTGTAGGCCAAGGTGCATGAACTGAAGTTGTAAGCCTCTGTAGCCCCTCGAACAAGCGATGTACACCAGATTGCAAACCATGGGTAAGTCATGGTATTAGCCTGTACTCCATACAGGCCTCCACCTCCAATGGCGTAAGCACCCACTGAAATGGATCGTCTGATGTGGCTGCCATCCCCGTCCGAAGTCGTGCATTTGCGCCGGCGTGCTGATTGCTGGTTCGGTAACCACTCCTAGGATGTGGATGTACTTTCTGTACGAGATTTTTGTTTCGATCAAGCGCTGCTCACACTGTACCATATCAGTGATGCTATGCCTATGTGATCGCTTTTGCCACGGTAGTTTCTTTCGGGCCGGACGCGGTGGGGAACTGCCGACTCTGTCTGGGATGGTGCACATAGTGTGAGTCGCTTTGCGTCATATGCTAAGCTTACGCTCAGTGACCGGACATTGTCATAGGCACAAGTCTAACCACACGTCCTGTCGCACAGCCTGGACCTCCTTGGCGGCGTGTAAAACGAAACGAAACGAAACTGCCACCGCCGCTGCCGCTGCCACTGCTGCCACTGCCACTGGTAGTGCTGCGGCTGCTTCTGCTACTACTACTGCACGACACCACCACCACCACCACCACCACCACCACCACCACCACCCCGACTACTACTACTGCTACTACTACTACTACTACTACTACTGCTGCTACCACGGCGACTACTACTACTACTACTACTACTACTACTACTACTACTGCTACTGCTACTGCTACTGCTACTGCTACTGCTACTGCTACTGCTACTGCTACTGCTACTGCTACTGCTACTACTGCTACTGCTACTGCTACTGCTACTGCTACTGCTACTGCTGCTACTGCTACTGCTACTGCTACTGCTACTGCTACTGCTACTGCTACTGCTACTGCTACTGCTACTGCTACTGCTACTGCTACTGCTACTGCTACTGCTACTGCTACTGCTACTGCTACTGCTACTGCTACTGCTACTGCTACTGCTACTGCTACTGCTACTACTACTGCTGCTACTACTACTGCTACTGCTGCTACTACTACTACTACCACCGCGACGACTACGACTACGACTACGATTACGACTACGACTGCTGCTGCTACTACTACTACTACTACTACGACTACGACTACGACTAGTACTAGTACTACAGTAGTACTACTAGTACTACTGTAGTACTACTAGTACGGTCCATCGCTCTCGTTTGCCTCACTCTTGGGTTGAGGGATGGTTGGCACCATGCCTTGCAGCAGTGCTGCCACACACAAAACGTGTGCCAATTTCGCTGATCGGACGAACCTCCCTGCTGCAAGTGTAAGTGAGAGTGAGTACTGCTACTGCTGATAAAAATACTTTCCGATGACTACCATTACGTGTACTATTACGTTCAGTATTGTTACTACCGGTACTATCACCATTGCTCAAGCTATCATTGGTACTCGTACTACTTCATCAGTGTATTTTGCTTACTATTGTCAAGAGGTACAAAGCTGGCTTAGCGATAGACCCAAGAAGCATGCTCATCTTGAATTGCTTATGGCTTCACACGAGTTGATGGCCCAGGATCTGCATCCAGGACCTCAACCAACAGCAAGTAGACAAAGTCTATGTGCGGATGGTGGAGCATCTCGATGAGTCGCTGAGCCAGGCGCAGGAAATTTTCTGGAGCTGATGTGACCAATCGAATCAGTTCGGGAAGCTCAGGGCCCACGGCCTTCGTTCAACGAACCTGCACGCCCGCACAGGTGGACATTCAGGAGAAGGTAACGCCCTTCGTCGAGACAACGATTCCGGCAGTGACTGGTTTGCAGCTGGAAGTGGGGGTTGCCACGGGTTGCCTGGGTGGGCGTCTCTTGGAGATCGTACTTATCCTCAGAGAGGCCGGTGCCTCGTGCCTGGCCTTCATCGGTCGCATCAGTTCAAGCAAATCCCGTGAGTGACTCCTGCAAACTCGTGTCGAAGGTGCTGCACGGTTGCTTTTCTGTGCATGACAGGGGACGAATTTGAAGGGTTTTGAAGGTGTCGCTCTAGGTACCCATTCGCGTGGCACTACTTAGTCACTTAGTCACTACTTCGTGCAAATGCCTCACCCCGGCTCCTCAGAATAGTTGTATTTGTGATTTCCAATGATATCTTGATCATCATTATAGGTCTGCCACTGCTCGTATCATTGTGCTACAAAGCCTGCTGCTGTGAGTTCCCACCGCCGCCGCTTGCCGGCTCACTTACTAGTTGTTGTTGCAGATACAGTTGCTATGCCTACAGCTGGCAGTGCTGGAGCGTTGACTGCTGTTAGACCAGTTCTTGTTGTCTTGTTTTCTTGAATTGTTTTGAGCTTGTTCGTTGCTTCTTCATGGTTACTAGTGGAGATGTCGCTGTTATGTTTTGTCTTCGTTGAGCCCAGGAGATTGAGAAGCAGGTTCGCTTTGTGTTGGACGAGCAGCGCCCGAAGAGCTCTGCACAGTAGCTTAGAAGGATATGGCGAGTTTTGGTCGGAACCGATGTGGGGCCGAACCAGAACAATGCTCGTACGGGCGTGCTCGCATCAAATCCTGCCAATTTTAGCAGTGTTGAATCAGAAAAGACGGTGAGAAGAAGAGGGTGCAGAACCCGGAGAGGTGCAGAACAGAGTGACGGAAGCATGTTGTCATGTAAGGCGGCTCTTCGACACTATCCGGCGAAAGAAGAACAGCATCAAGAGAGCCGAGGCCCGGAACTCTGTTTGTCAGTTCTCCGAAGCTCAGACTTTTTTGTGTTGCTTTCCCTCAACATCGTAGTGACCCCTAGCAGGAGTACGTGAAGAGCGTTGGGCGGGGGGTGAGAGAACATTTTGCTCCCCCAAAAAAAGAGACTGACAGGTGCTGCATTCTTATTTGACTTATCCTTTCGGCTCTCAGCACCAAGACCGATTTTGCTTCTGCCGTGTGCTGCTCGTGCAAGAGATTTGTGCAGTGAGCCAGGTGAGACAGCGACTGACGCTGCGGAAAGCATACGAGCCGGAGCGGCTGCTTGAGTTGCGTGCGGTGACAGGGCATTTCAGCGCTGGCCGGGTGAGCAGCACATACATTCTGGGTCAATTCGGAGAAGCCTTCGAAAGTTGGTCGGAACAGGGAAAAACGCAGTCCTTGGCAAAATCAGTCATGCCAACGCCACCAAGTCGAGAACAGTCTCTCTTCAAGAAATCAGGTGCACGAGGCAATCTGCTTTGAGCCTGCATGGCATGACAGGAGGGATTGATGGCTTTCTTGGAAGATGTTGGCCTTATCGACAAGAGCGCAGGAAGGAAGAAGGCAGTACACATGCCATGCTGATGCTTCCTAAAGTCCAGTCTTAAGCGCACGACCCTTTTTGTGTGAGCTCGCGAGGCCATGCACTACATCTCCTTCTACAATCGTGTCGAGCGGGGTGTCCATAGCTGGAGACGGGAGGATGATGATGGCCTTGAGTCCAAGGACAGTCTTCAGCTTCGCTCCCGCCACCTAGTTTTTCTCATACCGTGGTCAAGCATAGCTTGGTGCGATGTAACGATGCCACCTATAGATTTACCTGAAGGATTTGGTCCTTGACCCCGCAGATGTGGAAGACTTTGTCCGTGAGCTGGTTCATGGCCATATCTGGTGGGGTGCAATGGCAACTCGGACCGTGTCATCTGTTCATATATGCTTCAGCCACAGTCAAGGCACGGTCAGTGCTTGGATACTTGCCAACAACATGGTCCCAAACTTACTTGTAGAGAGAGACCTCATTCTGGACGTCTTGGAAGCAACCGGCACAATATCTGCCACACTCCAGAATGACAATCCTTTCTTGAAGCAGAGCCGAAAGGGGGGCAACCACCTGTTGCTTCCTTTGCCTGACACCAGGAAGAGGTGCTCAAGAATATCGGCTTCCCGATGGCTTCAGAACTGCTCAAACGCGAGACCAATCTTCTCACACGTGAGCAGGTCATGTACCAGTTTGCCGCTCGGACGGCAGCAGAGGAGGGTCCCTAACCCTGTCGCTCCAGCTATGATGCAAAGCGAAAACAATGTTGGCGATGATGAACTACTTCCAGTTCTGGCTGCTACTGCTACTACTGCTACTGCTACTGCTCCTGCAGCTGCTGCTGCTGCTGCTCTGTTGTTGCTCCTATTGCTACTGCTACTGCTACTGCTACTGCTACTGCTACTGCTACTGCTACTGCTGCTGCTGCTACAGCAACTGCTATGGCTCCGGCTCCTGCTCCCTCTCCTGCTCCTTCTCCTACTGCGACTGCTACTGTGACTGCTACTGCTGCTGGCTACGACGACGGCCAGTACTACTTCTTTCCCTACTTGTACTGCTGCTGCTACTGAAATGTCCACCACTCCTACTGCTGCTGCTGCTGCTACTACTACTACTGCTACTACTACTACTACTACTAGTACTACTACTACTACTACTACTACTACTACTACTACTACTACTACTACTACTACTACTACTACTACTACTACTATGACGACGACGACTACTACCGCTACTACGACGACGACGACTACTACTACGACGAGGACGATGAAGACTACCCACCACTACTACTACTACTACTACTACTACTACTACTACTACTACTACTGCTACTGCTACTGCTACTCCTGCTACTACTGCTGCTGCTGCTGCTGCTGCTAAACTACTACTACTGCTACTCCGCTACTGGTGGTGCGGCAAGTGCTCCCACGACCTGCAGCATTGCCAGTTTTCTTACCATCACTGCAGTTCTTCCGGCTCTACAGTGAAAGGGCCTAATTGGATCCGAATCGCCAGGAGATTGCGGCGGCCAAGGACGGCATGCTGGCGAAGGACAAGTTTCTGGATTTCTTACGCAAGGCTGCCGGTGGAGGGCTCTGGTTTAGAGATGCTGCAGAAGGCTAGGGTGGTGGCTTACGATTCGGGCTTTCGGCGGTGGACCACCTGGAAGTTTCGTGCTGTTGAGTCCGGAGAATTCACATCACTTTCCACTCAGTGATTGAGATGCCAGGTGGCCTAAAGGTGTGCAGCTGGATAGTTTGTGTGTCCGTATGCTTTAAGGTTTCGCAATACTGAAGTCGGCAGGTGTCCTGTGCCGATGTGGCCGACGGAGCAGCAGGGCGCATTTGGAAGGCTCAGATGGTGATGTTTCTCGGACGAGAGACATTCATTGTAGACTTCGGGGCAGCGAGGGCAGAGAGTTCATCGGTCAAAGGATGTTGCAGCATCTCAACATCTGTGGCTTCGTGGGGAAGTCGCTTGACAAGGGCCAGGACGCGGACGTCGCTGATGATGGGCTTCGGGAGATGAGCAGGTGATTGGGCAAGCTGATTTTTGACTCGTGTTTTCGTTCCGCCTCGTATTCTAGTTACGCACGTCGCGGCCTACCTTCCTGTTCCTTCCCTTCCTTCCTCCTTCCCTTCCAAGCTGAGGCAGCGCTGGCCGAACTGGCTTGAGCTCCTTGGCCGCAAGTTTCATCGCAGAGCCGGAGAGTCCTGGCCGTGGCTCCGAGGAAGGCCTGGGAGGGCGTGGCGCCCAAGCTCTCGGAAGGCAGCGATGCCAGGCCATTTCTGCCCCGCACCCTAATCTACACCTTCGTCAAGTCCGTGGCCTTCTCCCGGGAAGAGAAGAGTCGCACCATGGGCGAAGAATGGAAGGCAATGAAGGTTGTGGATGAGGAGCCGCTTAGCTTCCACTTGTGAAAGAGGAGCAGCTCTCCGTCTCCGCGCTCGCGTTTTTTTCTGTCTCCCAGATGCCCAGGTACGACACGTGGAAGCTGCAGAAGGACGAGGGTGATTCAAAGAGATATTACGTCTGGGTCAACCGTGGAAAGAGCTTGCAACGGCTACGAGGCATCTGGCACGACCCTTGGCCTTGGAGTTAGCACTTAGCTCCGATGACTTTCTGACATGGTGCTCGCTTGCAGCATCCCGAACTCAACCGTAACTCTGTGCGGAGTCTAAGGAAGTCTTCCTTGACATCTTGGCCAAGATGGGAAGCCCAGTGCAGGAGGGAAGCCTGTTGAAAATAATAGTTTCAGGTCATCGAGCTCACGACATGTCCTGATCTAGGCCTGCCATGTTTGAACCATCCCCTCGTGGTGGCGTGCAGGACGTGAAACAAGGGCTGCTGCTGTTCGAGGACGCGTTGCGGGAGCAGGGTGCCTTGTCTCATTGCGTGCCGGTTTCCCTGCAGGTGCGGAAGTGTCCGTAATGGGGGCTACAATGTCTAACCCCAGTGTGTCAATGAGCAGTATCAGTCCACTGGCTCTGTGATGCAGTTTCAAGTCGTACCTGATGCATTTGTCAAATTGCTGTTTCAGTCATCTTTCAGTGATACAGAGTACTTTCGTTTCATACACGTGCAATCGCCGTGTGTGCTGGCACCTCAACTCCCCTAGCCGCCCTCAGATAGGTTCGAGAGCACCGCGAAGAGCTCTGCCGTCGTGGAGGGTGCCAGAGTAGGGCCCGCTAGCAGGAGTTGAACACGTGAGGTCGGGCCACCGATGAGTTCGATGGCCTCTTGTCTGTGGACTTCATGGTAAACCACTGGATGCAAAAGAAGCTCGTGGAGAATACCGACGAAGTGTCGCTGCAGATCTTCAAGGACTGGACCGCAAGAATCCCTGCATAGGCTCTGCTTAGAGGTTGCCCATTGTCCAACCTCTCTGCAAACATACACTGCCTTCCTTTCTTGCCGCCATAGCTATGATCCTGTGATTCCACTGAGCCTCTATATTAAAGCAAGTCGGGACTTGGGCTGCGTCGGCAGGCCGAATCTGGCGGTGTACTCACCCCAGCGCTTCAAGCCGGGAAGCAGCCCTGAGCCTCAGGACGCTCTGGAGAAGGCAGAGTTTACACTGCCCACGTCCTCGGTGGAAGCACTCTGGTGCGCTCGCTGGAACTATGGGGTGGAGTTGTTGGAACATGGTTTAAACTAGACGCGGCAGTTAGCTTTGAGAAGATGGACTCTGGCAAATGCGCCATGAAGTAGATCAGGGAGTACCTCGCCACTCATGGGGTGGTGTCCTAGAGCTCCTAAAAGGTGCTTCTAGCAGAGGGGTCGTAGACAATTGTGTAGTGTAGGGTTCAAGGTAGGGTAGCGTGAGAAAGAAGCTGTAACCTTGCTTATCACTATCAGAACGCAGAGGTTTTATAGAAGCCTCAACTGTTTCCTCGCAGCGCATAAGAGGAGTTAACACACAAGTGCGCGGCAGGTATGCTGCGGACAAGACCAAGTGCACCCACCCCTCCTTGCGGCAGGCCGCCGTGGGGTCGGGTGGCCAGGTTGTGTTGATTGTCACTACGTAGACAACAATCCGGGCTTACAATGCCGGTGCCGGTCCCGACAGGTCAGGGACCTCGAAGATCGGCTGGTGAACCCTGGCTGCTGTATTCTGGGGTAACGCGCCTGTGAATCTCACAAACCAGCCAGCCAGCTGGCAACAGGTTGAGAGAAGGTTCATTCCCCTTTTGAGATAAGGCTGTTGAGTCGAGGGCCTGTTAAATCCTGTTGAGTTGGGTGTGCAAGTGCCGGCTCAAGACGCGACCGTGTTGGTCAATGTCTGGCCGCTGTGCCAGATGATTGATGATGTCTGGCTTGGCAGCTGAAGTCTAGAAAAAGGTCACAATAGGCCAGAAGGCTACACATGTTTAGTCTAGTCTAGTCTAGGCCAGTCTCAACTTGAAGGTCGTACCATGTCGTACCTAAACCAGACCAAATCTGCAAAGAGTGTGAAAGCCCACCAAGGATGTACATGTCCAGCGGAATGTTTTTCGAGTCCGTGCGCACGCTCATCACCAATGAGCTGCAGGTTCCCACCTTGCATGGGTTGGACGCCAAGGACGGCTCTTGCGCCCGACGAGTCGATCCAGCTGACGCATCTTGGGTTGCAGTAGCGTGTATTCCATGAGATCAGATCTTCGCGAGGAGATCAAGGCAGCCTTCAAGCAGGTCGATGAGAAGACCGGTTGCTGCGGCATTATCGACCCTCATGAGGTGCCCTGCCTGCCCGACAGATTTCAGGCAACGCCACAACACCATCTCTTGGGAAGGATTGTCCTATTGATCGCGGCAACCCGAAAGCATCACCCACTGCCAACATCGCTGCACCGCTGCTACAGCTACTCCTACCACTACCACTACCACTACTACTACTACTACTACAACTACTACAACTACTACTACTGCTACTACTGCTACTACTGCTTCAACAACAACTACTACTGCTGCTACTGCTACTACTGCTGCTACTACTTCTACTTCTACTTCTTATCCTCCTCCTGCTCCTCCTCTGCCGCCGCTACCGCTACTGTTACTGCTACGACGCGACGTCTTTGCGCGAATTACCTCTGGCTCCCGCAATGGTACTGTTGACGAGTGTTGCCGAGCCGAAAGCTACCAAAGGAAGGGTTCCCGGATGCCATAGATGTTGCCGCGCGGAGCGAATCCTGAGTTCTGCCGCACGCCTCCAGGGAGGGGGAGGAAAGGGGAAAGGTCAAGAAGTACAGGTCGTGGGGTCGAAGGGAGGTTCAGCCGAAAGACGAGGGGCTTCAGAGAGAAACCGTCCCCGACAAACATCGCATCGAAGAGTTGGTGGCTTGAATCGGCTTGAACTCATCGCATACCTTCAAGACCATTCCTGGTTGCAATATTGTTTGGATTCGTTTGGAACTGGAGCAGGTTTGCGAGCTGCTATTGCTGCTGTCCCAAGAAGGGATGGACCTGCAAACGGCCGGCTGCTTGGAGTTTGCTCCCTTTCGCTATTCGTCGTGGTGTTGCTCCGTGCCAGGTCCAAGCATCCTTTCAGCAGCTCCATATGAATCTTGATCCTGATGCCATCCAAGATGCCTTCATGATTGCCGGACGCCCGGCATCTGCGGGCGGCCAAAGAGCCAAAGAGGTATCGTTCCCATGCTGGCACGAGCCGTTCAGGTGGACACGAACTGTGACGACAAGCCGCTTGTTCCGCAGATCTCAGCATGTCAGGGAACCCGGGAGCAATTTCACTCTGCTAGACCTTCCCGGCCGACAAGTTAACAAGTTGAAAGCATGCAAACTGACTATGCAAAACGAATGTCGGGGTTTTGGTACGCTGAACCGGAAGCCGAAGCTAAGGATCGACCTGACAGACGCTCGACTGCAGTGAGGGTGAGGCTTCTTAAACGTCTGGGGAACCTGGCTCGGGCAGTCATATAAGAGATTTACCATTGAGAGTCCATGCTCAGGCCCCCAAGTTTCTGCAACTCGTGTTTTCCCGACACGGCTTTCGATTGGACATCTTGTGGCCCATCCATGCCAACTCATCAGATCCCGAAATTCTGTCCAGGAGTTCCTCAGCCTCATCGACAAGCTCGTGGACCAGGTCATTCCAGCGCCTTTCATGAATCAGAAAGGTTTTGAAGCATCCAAGCTAGCTATGTGGGCATGGCGCCTGCGCATGACCGCCTGGGGAAGCGGCAGCCTCTGGCACTCCAGATACAGTAAAATAGGGGCCTTAATGATTACCAATACTATGTCGGGGGTCCCTTATTATCATTGTGGTATAGTTGGGCCTCAGAACCCTATTCCCAAAATGAAGGCCCCTATATAATTATGGAATACGGGGCCCCAAAACCCTTTTCCCAAAATATTAAGGGCCCTATATAACTATGGTACAGTACGGCATACCGGGCCACAATACGCTACTCCCACAATATTAAGGCCCCCAGAAAACAATGGTATTATGGGCCCCAACATGGTATTCCCAAGAGATGAAGGCCCCTAGAAAATAATGGTATAACGGGCCGCCAACACCCTATTCCCAAAAGTGGCCTGCGCCTATGTAATTATGGTATAATGGGGCCCAAAACCTATTCCCAAAATATTAAGGGCCCCATATAACAATGGTATAGTGGGCCCGAGGGCCCCCAAGAAGTAGTTTCCAGGAGTCGATCTTCGAGTACATGGGCCTCTTGCGGCATCAGAGGCTCGCCTGCAAATGGCCGGTGCCCTTGAGGCCTTTTTTGAGGCTTCTTATGGTGGGCGTGGTGGCTTAGGTCTAGGGTTTAGGGTTTAGGCATATGCGTAGTCCAGGTGTAAACTAGGGTTTAGGACAGAGAGCCCTTGTTCAAAACGGGGGGTTGGTGTCCAGAGAGGGCCTGAAAGTTGCCTGCAAGCCCGTCAGCAACTTCCGAGGATCCTGTCCAATGTCGTCATGAAAGTGACCACGATCTTGACCATGTTCCTGTTTGTCTTCGCTGCTTGGAAGAACGGACGAGACTGCCACGTGCCTTCAGGAGATGCCATACCTGCCTGGGCTGTTTTGCTTTATGAGGTGTCCCTGAACGCCTTCCACGTGAATGTGGGGCAGAAGGCGACCACTGCAGGCTCCTCCATGATCCGAGCAGCTCTCGCAGGTGGGGGCTTTGCAGAAGACTTACCTGTGGTTAGTAGGGAATGGAAGAATGTAGTAGTAGTAGTAGTAGTAGTAGTAGTAGTAGTAGTAGTGGTAGTGGTAGTGGTAGTAGTAGTAGTAGTAGCAGTAGTAGTAGTAGTAGTAGTAGTAGTAGTAGTAGCAGGAGTAGTAGTAGTAGTAGTAGTAGTAGTAGTAGTAGTAGTAGTAGTAGTAGTAGCAGTAGCAGTAGTAGTAGTAGTAGTAGTAGTAGTAGTAGTAGTAGTAGTAGTAGTAGTTGTAGTAGTAGTAGTAGTAGTAGTAGTAGTAGTAGTAGATATAATTGTACCTCATTCCTCCATTCCCTACTAACCAAAGGTGAGAAGAATGTATTCGTGACGGCCTACAGACGGCACTCCACGTTCGACATGACTAGCCGGGCTTTCTGCGGAGAGGAGTAGGCTTAGGTAGACTTGGGTTTATTCAAGTTGTTCTTTGCCACGTGTTCTTCGGATCCCTCAACTCTGAATCAATCTGCAACCTCAACACTGAAGTAGGAGGCAAGCAGCACTAAGCGCAAGTGTCGGGAGACAGGTCTGGCTCTGCTCGGCCTCCGCAATGACAACTCCCCGGAGTACATGGAGAAGCAGTACAACATCGCCAGGGTGCCACAGCAGGGGTAAAGGGGGGGGCTTTCGATGTGGTTTTCCCAGTTTCCCCGTAGCTCAGGGTCCCACTCTTTGGGGTCCCCCAACTCTTCAATCCTAAAAACCCCGAAGATCCTAAACCTGATCCTGCTTGGGTTTAGGGTTTAGGGATTGAAGAAAACTTGGCTAGACTTGAGTCCAGTGGCAATACAGGTTCTTCACTCCTACAAATGCTAGAAATCCCGAAGATCCCAAAATCCCGAATCGTGCTTAAGCCCCTAAACCCTAAACCCCTTTTTTCTAAACCCCAAAAGCCCTAAACCCTAAACCCTAAACCCTGCTTAAGCACACAGGAGCAGCTCTACCGGATCACGGGGGTCTCGCGCTCCCAGCTCGAAGCGCGCCGGCGCGGGGCGGCCGGGGGTGGCCTCGGCCTAGGCTCCTCAAATGACCTAGTAGTATAGTAGAGTAGGTAACTGCAGTAACCTTTAACCCTTTTTTGTGTGGTAGACTCCCTATATAATCCCTAGATAACCAAACCTATAGTCTCCTGAGTATTTGCTTTAAAACTTTTACCCAAGAGAATATTAAAGATATACTTGTTTATGATGGTTCTAAGGGGGAGGGGGTATAGAATAATGACGATTACGGTTGAAGGTGTGAGGCCAGGATAAGGAGATGAACGAGATGACAGGACTTTCGTTCGCTGTCATGCCTCACTTCCCTTCAGATGATTCAGATGCCTTTCGGGATGATCTGGCATGTATACCTCCCGAAACTAGGGAAGATGACCCTGAGCCTCAGGCATCGGCATGTCCTTCGCGAAGGGACGCGCCAGGCGGGACATTCTGTCGCAGAGAGACAGAGATTCACAGAGTGTATCCAAAACACTCGAGTCTTATTCCTTCCGAAGGCGTGGCGGCGGCGGTGGCAGCATGTTCAACAAGGACGAGGAGGAAGAGGATGTCGACGGTGGCGACATGTGAGTAGCTCGAGCACAGGGGGAAGAGTCTTTATTCAGTAATTCGTAGTGCGCATCTCTAAGAGATGCGAAGATGCCGGCAGATCACCTGACCAATTTCGCAGATTGCTTGAGGGTTGAGATGTAGCCGAATCGCCCAGGTCTGGTGAAGCTCTATGCAACTTGATTTCACATGACGGCGGTGCTCTGCCGTGGCGAAATTAAATCGTGCACGACGGCCTTTGGCCTGTATAGTTCTGCTAGTTTGACAAGGAGGCGTGAACAGTCTGACTCGCTGGTAAACTTCCACCTCCCGGCTGCTTCCGCTGCCGGCAGTGTTCGTGGAGCCGGGTGGGGATGCGATAAGAAGCGTGTTCCGCGCCGTGGTGCGACCAATGTTGTCGTTCCCAACCGTTCGTCGTGCGGCAAATTTCCGCATGTCAGCTTGGCTTGGTACGCTCTGGGGACTTTGTTGCTGTGGCATGAAAAGAGTTGCGTCCATTTGACAGGTCCGTATTTTGGATCAGACATGCGTTTCGCGGCATGCTGAAGTCATATCATCACAGGTTGCACTGCAAGATGCCTCGAAGCACGAATCCTACTAGTAGGGGTGATGATGATGTTGTTGTTTGGTGTGTGCTATGTTATATTGCCAACCCTTGCTCTTGTTGGGCTCCACTTCCTCCCTTCCGCTTGCATCTCGCCTGGGGACCCCAGAGCCCAACTCCTAAGCCCCCCAGAGGACATTTTGCTTCGTGGGGTCCCTGCAATCCTGAACCCTCTTTCCTCGAATCCTGAACCCTAAGCCCCTTAAACCCAACACGTTAAACCGCCCGAAGCCCTATGCCTGCCTTGCGAGTGCGCGGGTCGAAAAGCCTGGCCAGCGATACGTGCTGGCTTTGAGGGCTTCCTCGGTAGCCGCTGTGCCGCCCTATCTGGCCCAGCATGTCCCAGTTGTGAGTGCTGCAACCCTAGGCCTCAGCCCTATTCTAGTTGAATCAATTTTCCGTCAAGAGATTATGGAACGACCAGTTCCCAGGGTGTCCCCTGCACTGGCATAGTATAGTACCATAAGCCCCCAAACCCTAAACCCCTAAATCACATGCCTCGCCTGGATTGTCCGAGTGTGAGCGCCGAAAACCTTAAATTATAGTATGGCCTAGTTCTTGCCGGTTGAGAGCCTCTGCAAGGAGAGCTCTTTGAGCCCACAGGCTCCCACGACGCCGAAAGCCCTGAGCTTCCAGGCGAGGCTTTCAGTAAAGAAGGGCACCCCAGTATATTATAGACGGAGAGCCCTCATGACAGAAGCCGTAAGAAAAGATCGCCCACGGCCCCACCCACAAAAGAAGGTGCCACTGACTTGTTGAAGGACTTGGAGTTTGCCTCGGTCTCGCAGTTTAGATGTCGGTTTTGGGCTTTGGCCTTCGGGAATGTTTGGGAAGCGGAGGCGCACGAGTCTTCTTCAACTACCTGCCACCTGTTGCCGACATTCAGCTGCTGCTGGTTTGTGTAGTGCAGTGACACAAACACACAAACAAACAAACGAACAAACGAAAAGAAACTTCAAACGAACGAAGGAGCGAAGTAACGAAGGAACGGAGGAACGAACGAACAAGCAAGTAATCAACAAACCCCATCACCACATTCCGCCCAACTCTTTTCCACTTCAACCCGCAGCAGGGTAGGAACGGTGACCATGCCATCCACGCAAAACGAACAGCCGTACAAGGTGGGAATCCCAAGCAGGACATCCAAATTCAGTGCTAGTACTTCTCAGACCACTTGCAGAAGAATGCATGGCCTTCGGCCGTGTAGGAACGCAGAGGGACTGACAACAACCGGAGGGCGAATCAATCGCACCGTGCCACATGCTCCAGGTGGAGTTGGATCGTCCGCCTCTCAAGACTCAAGCCTCAAGCCATTTGCAGTAACCTTGAATTCATGATAAAGCATGGATTCTGCTAGCATGGTGTTGGTATCACGCACGGTTGATGCGCTTGACATCTTCGTCTCGCGTTTATAGTTTCTAGCCGAGGTCTGCTCGATGAGTCTGCAAGTCATGTATGCGCAGAGCTGTTTTGGCACTTGCTGTGACGACGGCTCCTGTCCTTGTGCGACTGAAAACTTACAGATTTAGCCTCGGCCATAACAAGTAACTCTGGAAACAATTCTGATATATATATATATACATATATATATATATGTATATATATATATATCTAAATAAATAAAGTATGTATATATATATATATATGTATACATGTACATGTGAATGAACAAATTCTCTCTGCGCTCCGAGGAGGAGAGGGCCTGGCCAGCATCGGCTTGCAGCTGGATGCCTCCGATCAGAAGCTTTGTCTGGTGACGGGGGTCAAGGCTCAATGCAGACCGCCGGCATCCTGACATGGGGGCGGGGGGGCAGGGAGCCGAACGGCAGCGTAGAGCGCTCTGAGCATTTCTGAGAACTGTGCGGCTGGACTCCCCTCAGCTGCATGTTTGGTATGCCCGGCGCAGGCGGAAGGCCTTGTACACCGCTGGAATACCCAGAATCCGAGCCAGAAAGTCAGAGCCTCGGTGAGTGTCACCAACTCATCGTGGACAACAGCTAGTGACCAGTTCCGAACAATGCGAGCTTGTGCCCATCAACAGTTGCGACTTTTGCAATTTTCGCCAGCCTTTGGCAAATCGTCCCGTTGAAACCCCTCTGGCTCTTGGCCGAGGTGCTTCGCTTTGATCGATTGCTGCAGGCAGCACCGGGTTGTCCCACGGTTCCGAACTGCACCGATCGAGTGGATAGCTAAGCATTAGCTAAGGTATCCATTCTGCAGACTGTAGCTACCTCCAAGTAAGAAGATCCCCTGCGTTATGATGATGCTGGTAGGATCCCGGGTTCTTTCGGCACTATGAGCCAGGTGAACGGGGAACCTGGGCCGGCAGATGCACTGGTTACGAAGGCTTGCTCCAGCACGAAGTCCGGGCCCTTCTGCCTTTGTTGAGCGCTGAAGGATGCTCAGCCCAAACGACACTCGGGCGGTGTTGCATGTGCGATGTTTTGCGTGGCAGCCCGGTGTCGGCCCGTTGGATCGAAAACTAGAGGCCCACTCCCTGCCAGTTGGGGGCCTTGGGGTTTGAGTGCAGCGTTTGACCCGAATTTGACGCTTCGCGAACCGATGGCTTAGACACCAGGCAAAGAGCTGAGCAAACCCCTGCTTCTGCAGATGACCGGTCCTGGTGCTCCGACTGAATTCCGAAGTTCTAGCTCACTGAGGCTGCTGCTCGCTTTCCAGAGGCCGCGCTCCTTCCAGGCTCCGGAAGAAGGGTTCACACCGCGAAGGGTTAAGCAACTGACTCGGCTGCCTCCTCAAGTGCAGATGTCACGAAGATGCATCTCTGCTTGTAGAGGCTTCCATCGGCAGAGCTTTGTTTTGAACCCCTAGCCGTAAGCCCGTAGGCCCAAGCCCACATTCCGAACACGAAGCCAAACGTGAAGGTGCGGATCCAGAAAAAGGGCCGTGCCCTTGGGCTGCGCATTGCAGCCCGGCACTCGGATCCTTACTTGGGGTCTAGGCCGGTTGTCGTATCCCGGTGCATCGGGCAGTGATGGTCGGCGATCTCAGAAGAGTAGTAGCATTAGTCGTCGTAGTGTAGTAAGTGTCGTAGTCGCGGTGTCGCGGTTGGTGGCGGTGGTGGTGGTGGTAGGGGTAGTTGTGAGTGATGGTAACTGGTAGCTGCGGTAGCCGAGTCGAAGTTTCCTGCATTCTGGCAGCCATGCTGCCCTGGTTTCTGTCGGTTTTTGAGATAACATCGGGGTGAGGACAGTGAGGACAGCTTTGGGGGAGCAGATGCTTTGAGTTTTGGTCTTGCGTGGTGGAT